GACCAACTGCAATTAACTTAATCCTTAAACCTTAAACTTTATCTAGGTGCTCCTGCTCCGGCAGGGGGATTGGACTAGATGATCTTTTGAGGCCCCTTCCAATCTCTAGCATACTGTAATACTGTAATCATCAAAACCTCCAAAATTTGCATGAGGATCTTGAGGTTGAAAAGTGGGACAATCTGATTTTTCCAAAACAAATGAGAATTACACAAGGTACCTAAAGAAAATCAGCATCCATCCATTACACTATATTCCAGACTCCTTATATAAAGGCATAAGAAATAAAAATTAACACTGTTATCTCTAAAAAGTAAATTATAGATTTGTCATAACATATTAACACACACATACTTTTACCTCAGACCAAACCATCTTTAGATTCACATTAGCCACCCTAAAGGAAATTAAAAGATATTCCAAATGGTAAGCTGGAAAGATTTCCTTTACAGCAGACCAGTTAAAGAATACTTCTGATGAAGTCTTAGTTAAAATGCACCAAATAAAAAAACCTCAGAACATGGAGTCCAGATAACAAGAACCAACAGAAATAAATGACTATTATTATAATATCCATACACAGTATCTACACAAAATCATATCTGAGCAGGCAGATGATAGATGAAGTTCATAAGTAGGCTCCACATTTGATTCCCTTGCTATTAATAGAAACTTAGGCTGTTACAGCCAAGGTTATATTGGGCTAGACACTCCAGTTTCCTGGATCTGCCATGAAGGCCTCCTAACTTTAACATGTAAAGTATTACCTTTGTAATTATGCAATTGATTTGTACACACTGAGTTAAATTGGTTTATCTAAACATGCTGCATTGAAGCAATTCAAGTGAACAGGCAAAACAGTGTGCTTGCACACATTAATGTTTTTACATTGGCATAAGCTTAACTTTGCCTTGCACAGCAAACAAGGCTTCTACCTCACTTTATTGCATTGGCTTAATACCAGTTCTTTAGTTAAGTAGGAGAGACCTCATGTTGAGTACAGGCACACCATATATACTGTCATGTATTGTCCTCCTCTACGTTCACAAGGACTGGAAAATCTACCACTCAGCTCAAGAACACCGTTTCTGAAGAGTACTACAGAATTCTGTATCTAGGAATTATCAAACCTCCTGAAGGGACCCACCTCACACTCAAGATTATTTACTTTCAAATTCTACTATTAAGAGAATATTCTTACTCCCTCAGGCTTTGCATCTGTTTTCGCTGCAAATTTAACAGTGGTTTTTATTTCTTCTTTATTAAACCATCTATCTTCAAGGAAAAAAAATGTTCAAAATAGTAAAAGACAATTGTGCAAGCTATAAACTCTGAGATGAGAGCAGTATCAAAAGTTATTTTAATATTTACCTAAAACAGATCAATTTGTCTGTGCTCTATTAAAATCCAACCACCATGAGGAGCCCTAAATCTATCCCACACTGAGCACTGCGGAAGTGACATTAATTTTGTTGCCTTACTTCTCAGAATCAAGGGGAACTGTTATTTCAGTGATATTGAGGAAAGCAAAATCACCAGAAGTTGAGCAAGAACAGACAAAAAAAGAATCACTCCAGGAGTAGCCCCTTGAAACCACTGAAGATCAATGAAAACAAAAGGGGAAAAATTCTTCCATTGGAGTGAGTCTACCAATAAGAAAAGATTCCGCCAAAAAGTTAAAATGAAGAAATGATGAAGCAGATAGTAAGAGAAACAAAAGGATATTTAAAAAAAGAAAGAAACTAAGAATGAAGCCACCTCAAGGCACAGAACAGGAGAATGTGACTTACAGACAAAGAGAATCAGAAGCAAGAACAACCTTCAAGCAACAGAAAAAAAGTAAATCAGTGTAATCTCTAGAAATGCAAAAACAGAAGGAATCTCAAACAAAGAGTGATACAGAATTATACATTTTAAATGTTAAAAACATTAAAAGAACCGATGTTTTAATATTTCTGTATGTTCCTAGTGTTTGCTGCTGGGTGCACCACAACCCAATGTTTATGAGGAAGAGCCAAGATGGCTCTTGTAAGAGCATGCCACCTCACCCAGGCTAAGACAGTCAACACAGACTATTCTAGAGAGCTAGGTAGAAGAGAAGCCTCACTCAAGCACACCAGACTGCCTTTTTGAAGTCTTCTGCACTGATGAATGAACACGAACAGGTTGTTCCAAAATGACACCCAGTTGAGAAATTTGAAGTTTATTGGCTATATAACACCACCACCCAGTAACTGGTTGACTGCTCTTTCCTTTTAACAGTGACTACAAAAGGAACAAGGGAGGGTACAATGAGGAACTCAAATCCCTTTCTTCTGACCAGGTACTTCAGTCTTGCCTCCAGTAGGTCTGCATGCTGACAGAATACGAATGACATTCAACATTCGCAAAATCCTGCCATGCTATACCCATCCAAGAGTTAATGAATTCCTTGGTTTAAAGCTGATAATAGTGAAAACAGAAGGAAATATGAACCTGTGTGGTTTTCTACACTAGGAAAACACACAAAAAAGGCTCCCTCTCACTCAATTTGTTAATTTCGGCATATTTGCTCACATGAAGTCCAAAAGTACTTGAACACACTTCATGGTTTGCTGTGCTAGGCCAAAGCAGGTAACTGGAAGCTGACAGGTACTGCCTCCCATGCACTCTGCCTTACCAACTTCCCTGAAGGCAGGCACTGGTGCAAGGGCAACCAGATTCTCATAAGAGTCCTTTAAAAAAGCTCAAACACTGCAACAAAGGAGGAAACCACCTCCCTGGACCGCCGCCGGGACTGGCAGCTGAGAAGGCGGGGCTGACTCCCCGCCCCCCCGGGCCCGGGCGTCTTTCCCACAGGGTCTCGTCCGACCTACAGCCAGCCGGGGAGAGAGGAGAGAGGCGACCCAGGCGAAAGCAGGTGCCCCACTTACCGCCCTCGCCCGGCAGCGAGCAGCCGCCAGGATCGGGACACACCTCTGCCACCGTGCGGGGCCACCCCCGCCGGCAGGTGCCCGCCCGCCCCGCCGAGGCCGCTCGGCGCTCACCCGGCCTCCCGCATGACGTTGCTGTCGCCGCAGTCGCAGGCGCCCCCCGCCTGGCTCCGGAACATGTTGTAGTCGTGCCCGGCGTGCTCGCCCTGGTGGAAGCACTCAGCGCACAGGCTCATGCAGGGCGAGATCCCGCACGTCCGGCACCGGTAGGCCACGAAGTTGGCCGTCCATACCAGGCCGCACAGCGTCGCCGGGTCGTAGGCCCGCACGGCTTGCACGAAGCTGTCCCACGGCTCCCCGCCCGACAGCAGGCAGCGGCACCACTCCAGCGCCTCGGCCGCTGCCTCACCGCCGCCCGTGCCCGCCGCAGGGGCCAGCACCCGCTCCAGCAGCGCCCGCAGGTGGCCCGCCGCCGCCGTGCCGCTCTCGCCGCCCAGCTCCGTCTTCAGCCGCTTCGCTGTCTCCTGCTTATCCTGGCCACTGGCGCCTGTCCCCGCCATGATGGGAAACTGAGGAGCCCTCACTGCTGCGGCGGGCTCCCAGCTCTGGGGCTCCCCCCGCCGCCCTCTCTCCCCTCCCAGCGATGCCTCTCGCGATAGCCGCGGAACCGGCGCCCTCCCCTCCCGCTCCCTCCTCCTGACACTGCCTCTCCCCTCCCCTGACATTACCCCTCCTCTTCCTTTGCTCTCCCAGCTGGCCCGCGCCGCTCTGTCAGCGCGCAGGTGCGCGGCTCACGCCGCCGCCCCACAAAATGTCGCCTCCCACCGGCCCGAAACTTTCTTCGAGGATGAGGGGCGCGCAGCTTGTCACTGAGGTCCCGGCCGTGTTCAGCGTGGTTGCGCCCCCGACAGGACTGGAGTCCGCTTTGTTACCGAGCCGCTCCGAGAGCGAAGGCATCTAAGCTGCCAGTAGTGTGAACGGGCGGCGGTGGCTCTGAGGGCACGGAGGAACGCTGCTCTCTTCAGCCGCCCTGCCAAAGCCGGCAGAGCACACCGGGCATGGGCAGTAGTTCCGTGCCTGGGTGGCCGGAGCTCTGAGGTACTGTGTCTGCATGCTCCCACCGGGAGAGTGTGTAGATGCCAGTTGCCGTAGCTTATATGCTGACCGGCTGTTTTAGATCTCGATGGATAGCTTTCCGGCTGTGTAATGGAAAACATAAACAGAGAAAATCTGTCCCTAAAAGAAACCTTTTCTCTGGCAGCAGCAGACCTCCAAGTCCCCAAGGCAGCCTCCCTCAGCTGGCTTTCCTGCTCTCTTCCCTATAACCAGCCATCTTCTAGTCTCTGGGGAGACCTTATTGCAGCCTTTCAGTTATTAAGAGACCTATGAGAAAGGTGGGGAGAGACGTTTTAGCAGGGCCTGTTGCCACAGGACGAGAGGCAATTGTTTTAAATGTAAAGAAGGGAGATTCAGGCTGGGCTTGAGGAAAAAAATCTTTGCAGTGAGGATGGTAAAGCAATGGCAAAGGTTGCCCAGAGAGGTGGTGGGTGAACTATCCCTCAAGATATTTAGGGCCAGGCTGGATATGGTCCTGGGCAACCTGATTTAGTGGAAGGTGTCCTTGCTCATTGCAGGGGTGTTGGACCTTTAGAGGTCCGTTCCAACCCAAACTGATCTATGGTTCTGTGATCCCATGACTTCTGTTGAGGTTCCTTAAGGGCAGGGAATACTGGGCAGTATGTCTCTCCCTCCGGGATTACAGGAAGGAAAACATGAGAAAACTAAGTAAACCGGTTTCTTTTCTCTCGGTGACTGTCCTTTCCACTGAGGAGACGGAAACCCATTTCGGTGCTTTTTGTCCCGAACTGCCCCCACTGGCTTGAGTGCTGGGGAAGGACAGGCCCTGGAGAGCGGGCTTTCACAGTCGCCGAGCAGCGGTGGCACGTCGGGCTGCAATAAAGTGTGTCATGTCTATGACACGCGTTAGTCAACGCCAACACCTCTCGATAACAAAAAAGGAAAGCTCTATAGCCCTCCATTCCCGCAGCAACCCGGAAAGGGGCGGGCGCTCCACGGCGGAAGTGCGCGGCGCCCCCGGGGCAGCTGTGACTGGAGGTGGCGTGAGGCGGTGCGGTGCAGGTGTGTGCTGGCCCAAGGCCTCGCGGGCTCTGTCGGGCGAGCGGCCGGTACGGATAGTCCTTGGGACTGGGTTCCTGCTCCGACCTGGGCTAGGCGCCGCTCTCGGCGGCGGGAGGAGCCGGTCCGGTGGGAGCGGAGCTCCGGGACGCGCCCGCAAAGCGGCCGCGGGAGGAGCAGGGTATTGATGGCGCTTGAAGAGAGGGTCTGTCGCGGTGCGGACCGGCCTCCCGTTAGCCGCGCCTGTCCCTGTCGTCGTAGGGATCCATGGCAACCGCTGCTGGAAAACACCTGGGAGATGCTGAGGAGTACACCGGGGTGTGAAGTGTAAGATAATTCGAGACAACATGTACTTTATTGTTGTAAGTGCATTGCAACTGATTACACGTTGTTTTCAATAGGTAAACTACAAACATGAAGAAGTTAAAACTTAAAGAACTGGAAAGCTGTCTTCAACAAGTTGATACTTTTGAAAATCCAAAACTACTCCTTGAACAATATCCAACAAGACCTCATATTGCAGGTAAAGGTAACCCTGCATACAGCATTGTCATCCGTTTGGCTACTTCTCATCAGCACTGAAAAAGTAGGGTAAAAAAAACCCAGGAAAAATAAAATAGGAAAACAAAAAGTTTCTACTGCATTATCTCATTTGAGTCCTTTAAACTAAAAGTAGTTGAGAAATTCAGCAGAAATGTTAATTTCATAACGATCTGATAACCTTTTTTTATTAGAAGTATACTGCTAATGTACAATCAAAAAATCAAGTTAAATGGATTTAAAATACAACGTTGTGGTAGAAACATCTTAGTTATAATAAACATCCTAACCTATAAATGAGAAAGCCAAAATGGAATTATTTCATGACACACAAAACCCAGTAAAAGTATATATACTGAGACAGTCACCTTAGTTACGGATTTTTTTTTCCAACATTTCACCTCCTATTGATGTACCCCAAACAACCTGAGAGTCATATGTTTCCCACAAATACTCACAGCTCTGGTTGTAATGTCTCCAACAAAGATTTGGAGTTCTGTAACTTGTCAAAATGTTTTTGACTTGTTTTCACATATAAATGAAAAAGACAATTACAGGCAGTGAGAACATAGGTTTAATTTTGCATGACAAGAAACCTGTAGTTCAGAGTTTTCTGAAGGCAGAAGTAGATTTTCTTGGTTAATCAGATGCATATTTGATATTACTGATCTGTGTGTGTTGGTTGTGTTTGTTTTTCCCAGCATGTATGCTTTATACAATTCACAATACTTTTGATGATATTGAAAACAAAACGATTGCAGACTTAGGATGTGGTTGCGGCATGCTCAGCATTGGAAGTGCAATGTTAGGAGCAGGGTAAGTAATACTAAGTGCTGGATATGTTTTTTTCTGGTATGGAAGAGTAGAAAGTAAGATTAGAACATAGTAATGCTGAACTAAACTCATTTTAGGTAAAATACCTGGTGCATAATGAGGATATTTAATCTGTTTAGACAGTCAATAACCATTGAGATAGTGGAAGAGATGGACAGTTGACATGAATTTGGAAGTCATAGTGTTAGCTTTCCCCTGAAGCACTAAATGAACACATAAAACATACTCCACAAACTTGAAAAAAGATAATTGAGAAAGGGCAACAGAGCTACTCACATTTTTATCAGGACTGAATTTATAGTGCCTAGGTAAAGCAAGTTGTCTACACAGATCCCTTTCAAAGCTTTACTATAGAATTTAAACATTTTAGTTAGCAGGGGACTAATATGTCACACTTCTTTTTTAATAGGTTTAGTGTGGGGTTTGACATTGACGCAGATGCACTGGAAATATTTAATAGTAATATCGAAGACTTTGAGCTCACGAACATCAACATGATTCAGTGTGATGTCTGTTCTTTATCTGACAGCATGTCAGAGACTTTTGACACAGTTGTTATGAACCCTCCATTTGGTACCAAGCATAATAAAGGTTGGTAATTCTGAAAGTTGTTATTAGGAATGAAACAGCAAGGGATACGCTTCTAATGAAACATCTCCCTTCTTTATTACAGTTACCTATTGTAATTACCTAGACTTTTGTTCATCAGGAATCAGTTTCCCAAGTACAGATTAAAAATTTCAGTGTTGTAACTAACAGTTGCTGGGTTTGAAATAAACAATACCAGCTATTTCATATCCATATCATTTTTCTCTTTTACTAAAAGTAATTGGGTTTTAGAAATACATTCTGTACCTTAATGTATTCAGTACTGTTTCTCAAATAGTTATTACTCCAGAAAAAACAGAAGCATGAAGCAGATCTTTAAATCCTCTAGTTTAAGTTTGCATTTATCAATTTTAATCATTTCATCAATCTTTTAGGAATTGATATGATTTTTCTGAAAACTGCATTACAGATGGCTAAAACAGCTGTATATTCCCTTCACAAAACTTCAACACGGCAGGTAAGTCCTTCATTCTAATAGGGCAAGCATAATCAGGCAGGGATGTTGTCTATAGCTTCACTGATGCGTTCACACACCCCTTTATGGGTGTAAAGTTTGTTCTGGGGAAATACTAATCATGCCAAATAATTAATCTCAAGACAAGTATATATATATTATATATGTAAGTAACTAATCAAGATAAGTATGTTTCAGCTTGAAAAACAAAAGGAGACTTCTTGGATAAGTGTAAGGGTGTAGATATGTATAAATAGTATAGAAATGTGCTTTTAAATTTAGCTGCATCTATTTTCTGTTGTAGCATATTCAAAAGAAAGCAGATGAATGGAATGTGAAGATGGAAGTCATAGCAGGTAAGATTAATTAATTGTTAAACACCACCCCCAAACCATTATGGCAGGGGCCAGTGTCTTAACAGCCTGATGTAAATTTGGATTTGTGACTGAAAAATGAAGTCTTTTTTTAGGCACTCCTTTTGTGGAGGTTTTGGGTGGGGGCATGGTGTTGTTGGCTGGTTGTTTTTAAATAGGTGATGCCTGGCTAGAATAGAAGCAGGCACTTACTAAGTTTTGAGGAATGCCTATTCTGTGCTGAATTAGAACTGGATTTCTTCCTGGGCTAGATTTTGCCTTCAAGCAGAGCTTACCTACCTTCCTGCTTCAAAAGGAGATTGTTGCTGAATAACAAAGGCAAAGTGCTGGTTAGTTCTCACACAAAAAAAAAACCACACACCTGTCCTAAGTACTTTTATGATGGTTCAAGTGTCTTCCCACTACTTAAGTTGCCAGCTGGATGTGTTACATAGTGATAACAACTTGAGACACGGAAGTTGCACAAATGCTTGAAACACAACTGCATTTCAACCATCCACTTACTGTCTGATGCAGCTGGCTTAAATGTTCAGGCACAGTCTAGGTCAGAGGTCAACAGTTACATAGTCAGGGACAACAGGCACAGGTCATAGAAGAACATAGGTGTAGGGTGTAAGTCAACTAATACTCATTCTAGTGTAACAAATATTCTTTGTACTGTTTACAGAACTTAGATATGACTTACCAGCATCATACAAGTTCCATAAGAAGAAATCAGTAAGTATAAAACCTAACGTAACTGAGAAAATGTTTTGTACAAGGCAAGTTAATTCTACTTAAGGACACTAAAGTTTTAGGGCCATATATACTGGATGAGAAATGCTTACAACGCTCTAGAGATGTTCACAATTATGGCATCAAGTTCCATTGCTATTACTACATTTTGTAGTTGAACAGAGAAAAGAATCATTGTAATGCAAGTCAGAACTGTATGCAAAGATTAGAGCCAGCACTGCAACTTGATGTGAAAAGCTACAGGTAGCCTACTGAAAAGTTATTTGCTTGAAACTTAGCCTGAAGTACTGAAGGCCAGAGTAACAAGGATTTTACAGCTGTAGGATTATTTCAGTACTCTATTTTTCAGCTCTCTACCTCAAATAGCTGCAGCCAGTGAAATCCCTCATAGAAACATCTTGAAGAGGGCAGGAGCAAGCTGTGCACTGCTCCCAGAACATCTAGCCAGGATGCTGCAGTATGGAAGCTTAGCCCCGCAGGCAAGTTCCTGGGAGAGGACTGCTGGCCTAAATGTGTATCCCACTACCACAGGGGAATTGGAGAGAATCCTGGAGTAAACCAACTTAGATGTTAAGACTGTTAGGTATGTTGAGTAGCAAAGACAAGTTTCACTTAGCTGTATCTATTGCCTTGGTGACTTGAACTGAAATTATGGAAGTCTGTCCTTCAGCTTTGCTACTTCACAGGTACAGCTTCATACTACATTAACATCCAGGCTTCAGCAGTAAGCAGTTTTAAGTTCTGAATTTATTGGCAGCTGCTATTTAACATAACCGCAATATTACAGAGTCCAGAACCTTTTACATTTGAGTGGGTTGCCAGAGAAACTGTGAAGATCTGACGGTATAAACAAAAGTATAAATATAAAAGTTTTCCAGGGTGGTATGTTAAGAGTAAGCATGCTTCTTAAACAGAAAAAAAGCTGTAACCCAACAAAATGAAGCTTTCCTCTCATTGTAGGTTGACATTGAAGTGGATTTCATTAGATTTTCTGCCAAGAAACTCCTGAACTGAGGCATGTCTTTAAAACCTATTGAAAATGGAACAATAAAACAATGATTTTTTTTTTTCTAAACTTTATTATTTTAGTATTACTAATCACCTCCTCCATTTTCTGTTTTCAACTGTTTTGGTGCAGGTTCTTCTTTTTCCATTTCTTCTAGTGGTCTCTTCTTGGGACTTGCTGGTTCTGCAAGATTGAGTAGGAAGTCATTTATGGTAAAGGATAGCATTTCAGTATTGCCTGAAATCTTCAGAAAAAAAAAAAAAATCCTCCCTATCATATAACTTCAAGGATGAGTCCTAGTTTATTCACGAGGCACTGCTACACTAGAGGGCTTACTTATTACTGTGATTTACAGCTTTTAGATGTCCTAAAAGACATCTTTAAAGAGCTTCTTACTTGTATAACTTCACAGGAGGAGAGCAGGTAAGATGAAGGAAGACAATCTAGCAGGACTAGGTATCAACTGGGTTTTGCTTAAGCAGGTGCCATATCTAATGAACAGAAGCTTAGCTCTTCCTCTTCTCCAAGCAAAATACCAATATGCAGAATTATTAGTCTTCTCATAGTCTCAAAGGAAAAAGAGGAGAAATTGCCACTAAACTGGCTCTGTACAACTGTGTCATGTTGCTTACAACCACCATCTTTCAATGCAGAATGCTTTGAACAGCCACACAGTACAGCCCTGTATATCTAGTAATTTTTTTTAATATGCTTTTGGGGCAGCTCTGGAAGGAATCAAGCACAAGACCCTTATCTTCAGATAACTTACTGATGGCTGACAAGAGGGCAGAAATACTGCAATGTAGGGCCAAATCCCAAACACTTCTAAAAACATGAGTACTTCTCCAGAAGGTAGCTCCCTGTACTAAAGAAGCAGACTGCACTGCACAGAACGACATACCTGTTTTAGCATCATCTTCACCACCTTCTTCATTATCAAACTTGATTTTCTTGCCCTGAAACTGAATTTTTCCTTTCTGTGCTCCTTGAGGTGTCTTTCCCCCTCTTCCTTTTCCTTTAATTTTGCGTCCTGTGGGGATGGAAGATGTCAGGAACTTTGTAGTTTGTCTTTTAACTAGCACGCTCAAAAGAATGCTTTACAGTTAGGCAGTGTTTAGTATATATTCACTATTTACAGTTACTTCCACCACAGTGCCACTTTTAGGACATTATAAATGCTTAAACCAATAAAAGGAGGACCTTTTGTCTTCTGTTTCAGCAATTCTTGCTGGTCTTCCAGTAATTTTTTCAGAGCTTCTTTCTCTACATCTCCTTCTAGCAATTCCCATGTAACATCCTTGTTCCGAAGCTGTAGGTTTCCATTATGTGCTGCTTTTGCTTTTTCCAGAGCTTCTTTTGCAATATCCTTAAAAAGGATAATTCCCTTAAAAAGAAGAATGGCATTAGCATTTGAATCTTGCTGCAAAAACATTCAGCTAGAATGATGAACAACGCTTTCTGTTAGGTAGCTCAGCAAGTTCATCACTCTTGCATGTTGTAAAATTAGATATTAGATATTAGACTGAAGCAAAACCCTCAGACTGTCCTAACATTCTCAGTCTCAGGTTTGACCTTGTCAGCTGAGAAGGCCAGAAACTTTATCTGTTTGTAATTCAGTTCTCTGAATACTCTGCAATTCCACAAGCCAAGTAATTTCTTACTTGATTATGTAAGAGACCAAGCATTTAATCATTCAGTTTAAAACTTTAATACAGAGATCTTAATTCCTTGTCTAAGATTCTACTGACCTCCTTTGCACCTCTGACAAAGTGTATCCATTTGATTTCTCCATGATCAGAAAATACATCATGGAGGTCTTCTCTGCATGTTTGATCATCTAGATCACCAGAAAACTTCAAAAGACATCCCGTCTTCTCTTCCAGAGACTTCTAAATGAAATAAAAACCCACACATTTTTGTTGAAGAGTCAAGCCTGAATATTCATTTCCACCCTCCCCCCCCCCCAACCCTAACACTATTAACACATGGTAGTCATGAATAAGCAGTTGAAGTCAGCCCCCGTTAGCGCCATCAGTAACCCAAGTGTTCTTGCCCTATAGCTTATTAATGCTGATGTCAAAGTCTTGCATGGTGTATCTCGCCGCCTTTTCTTGAATTTTCCTTGCTTACTCTGACACATTTATGAGGAACTTTGTACTCTTCCTGTAAGAATTACACTCTTTAAATTCTACAGAACAGTTTTTTGAAGGCTGACACCTCAGACTGAAAAGCTATATAATACTTATTAAATCCTTACTAGATCCTTTAAATACCACAGGAGAACTGTCATCTCGGTGGTGCATTTAGGATCACTTCTCAACAGGTAAATGTGCTAAATAATTTAAATTCAGGATATGATCCTTTAAACAAAATCAGTCATTTGAAAATAAGATGAAATATCAGGACAACACAAAGTCTCACCACAGGTCAGTTGGAAAAGCCGAACTTTCTAGAAAGTGCTCTGTATTACAGAATTTCAAACGGTTAATGTTGAATGTCAGCTTTACAAAATGTGCTGCAGGAGCATGTTTGTAATGTGTGGATTGGAAAATCCATACAACAGCAAGCACTGCATAGTTTTCAAGTACAGAGATTTAAGAAGCCCATACCATTTCAGCATCTGCTGCTTGTTTCTGTTTTTCTTCTTTTTCCCTGTAGAAAGGTTAAATTAGTTAAGAGTTGTTTCAAGTGTGATCAGGTGAACAAAACCAGGCGTTTCAATTGATAATGACTTACTGTTTAGCTCTTGCTTTAGCTTCTACTTTGTATTGTTTCCTTTCTTCATTCTTCTTTGTACAGTACTCCTCCCTGCAACAGAAGACGTGCTAAGTTAACAACACTTAAAGTATTCCATTACGATTGCTTTATAAGACAGCAGTACCCAAGAAGCAGTTCAGATTATCTGTCAGATCAGAGATGCTACTATCCAAAAGGTACAGCTATCAGTACCTGTGCAACAGTGCAGAAACTTAAACTTCTCTGGTCAAGCCAGATTCTTGTCTAAATCTACCTTTGACCATTACTAGTTCATACATTAGTTAAGTGGACTTACTTGAAAAGTATCATCAGCTCTGTGTCTTTGTACTTTTGGTTTGGGATCTCTGTGAACTTCTTAGCAGATTCAACACTATCAAAAACTGCAAATATTGAGCCCTGTTAAATGGTAAGAGATATTCCGCATTAGAGCAATTGAACAAAATGTTGTTCGGGGGGGATCCCTGCCCCAGGGCTGAATTTTCATTGCAAAAGCTACCTTAAATGTTTTCTGCAGTGTCCTCCTCATTTGAATGTTTTCAACTGGACCTTTATCCTCAAGCCATTCTTTGATATCATCAAGAGTTGCATCTAGTGGGAAGCCTTTCTGCAAGAGAGCAACAAGCTTCAATTATATGCAACAGCTGACACTTAGAAATTATAACCTATCTAGTGTGAGTTAATTCAGGCTTTCCTTAGACGGTTTCCAGTCAAAGTCATGCAGAATGGTGCAGAGCCAAGGAAGAAGTTTACTTACGACATATACAGATCTGTTTCTAATTGCAGCCTTATACTGGTCATTTAACTCAGGAAGGGGTTTGTTTGGAGATCTTCTGATTTTTGTTTTGTCTTCACTTATTTCCATTAAACCAGTCTTGGATTTTCTTAATGCTTCTACAATAACACTAAAATCTGTTGAAAGGTGACTCAACCTATATTGAGTAAGCAGACACAGGTTATTACAAATACACTGGCAAAGCTGAAGCCAAATGTTAAAACAGCAACAGGAGTTGTACATGCTGACCAGGGACATTTGGCCCCAAATAGACATAAGTAGCTGAAAGTCACCCTTCCATCCAGACTCCAGACTAGTTTTGTACTTTGGTTTTACCTGTTGAATTTGATCATTACTTCTAAAGGCACCCAGCCATCATCTAGTTTGATCTGTTCCTTCAGGAATTTGTCTCTTGGTAGATTGTGATTGCCAAAATAGTACTGAAAAAAAGAAGGGGAGGGGAAATAGGGAAAGATATTTTTCTTTAAATATTCAGTCTTAAAACTTTATTGTTATCTGACACCTCACTGCAGTGGATTGAGACACACCAAAAGTAATTAATCTGAGTAATTAGAAACTCCAAAATTATTACTTCCTGTTTTAATGTGATGATTTTCCAAGAGTTAGCTGCAACACATACGTTGTAAGAAAAACCCCGTACTTCATATCCAATAGGACTAATGAAGCACAGGTAGATTGCAGTTTTGTTTAGGAAAGGCATAAAGCTTGTTTTGTTAACATAATTACTCCTCAATCAGATCAAGCTCTGCAGAGTCAATAGTAAAGTTTTTCACCAACAGATTCAGGTTTAGTCCTTATTTAAGGAATCTATAAGCAAGAATATTGTATTTGCCATACTGAAAAATCATACTGGTATACTAGAGTTTCTAGGTCTCATTCAGGAAAATAGGACTTTAAAAAATGGTTTTATTTTAATTTGCTCTGTTCTTATTTTGATCATGTCCAGCATGGGAAAACAATTCAGTACAAGACAGACAATCAGATTCTTTTGCTTACTGGTAATCATTTAACTAGGGTCAAACACTTGAAGCCATAAGGTAAATTATAGTGTTTCCAATTTACCCTGTGTAAATTGTGCTTTAAAAAGTCAGTGTAAGCTTTACAACAATACGTTTTCCTCTGGTATACCTCAAACTCACATTACCACAAGTCTAGCTCTTTTTCCTCAGTCTCTGCTTTGGGTTTTTTTTTTTTTTCCTGTTTTTTTTTCATAATGGCTACAGCTCCATATGCTAATGGAGATTCACATGCAGCTACATTTTTGTCCTTCAGGAAAAAAAACTTCTGTTCTAAATGTCATTTTACGTGATGGTGCTCAGTTTTCCATTGTAGGGCAACCCTTCAAACCTCTGGAGTAAGAAATAGTTAATCTAAAGTAGGCACGCAAGTTTAGTTGTAATTTGTAGCAATAAATTACAAAGCACTAAATCATAACACCAAATTATGTGATGTGCTAGCATTCTGACCAGCAGAGATTGCCAAGTAGGAGGATTCCCCAAGCTCCCCAAATTAAGTCATACAGAATTAAAATGCATCTTCTTTTTTACATAGATAGAATAATCCCAATAAACATAGTAGTAAATTGTTTAATGATACGTTCACTTGCTATAGCACCTAAAATGCTAGCAAGTTAAACACTTGTGTTTTTAAATGGCAGTTTTGCATAACTTCCAACTTAGACTACAATTACGAATTACCTTAAAGCATTAAATACTTGTCATAGACCAATAACAGACATTTATAAAGAGCCGAAGATTCAAGTCTAACTCCCTAGGAAGTTAACTTCCCATTAGCCAAGTCCCTACCAATGAATGTCTCCAAAACTACACCTCAGTTCAGATCCCAAACAGTAAGTTGAACTTACCTCGATTTGCTGACATATTTTGTTTTCCAAAAGGGACATGTTTTCACCATCTCCATTTTCAGCCATTTTCACCAGCTCTGTAGGAAAGAACATAGAACAAAGGCACTAAGTATTGAATACTACTTTCTGCAGACTTATCTTCATAGTGCTGCATTTCACTGCAGCCTCATCTAAACAAGGTAAGAAACAAGTTCTTTAGCCATACATTTACACTTGTGAGCCAACTTTAAACATGACTACAGAACTCCAAAGGGAAACTAAGAAACAAGAAAGTAAAATACTTTGGTTGCTAAGGCAGCATTTGGCATCCTGCATTGAATTTAAGTAAAGAAACATGCTGATACTTGTTCTAGGCACAGATCCTCAGTTGGTACCTAACAGCAACAAACCCGAGAGCCAACAACATTTGTTCTTTAAGTCAAATCCAGCTTTTCATCACAGGCAAAACATCAATAACCAATTGTTTAATATTCCTAAATAGATATAACTAGAAACTTTTCTGAAGTTTCCGCCTCCTAATATTTGAAATTTACTGGAGGAGGGAATGAAAATATCTGTGTTTACTACTACATCCTAAAGATGTCTAGTTCTCTCCTTTACAAACTTCACTTCAGTTCTCCCTGAATACTGAGTCAAGCACCTTTGCTAAGAGGCAAGATGTTTTATCATTAGAGTAACTTCTTCCCTAAACTGGCATTAAGCGTATAATCCCAGTATACAATCACTACACACACCAGAAGGTTGGCAAGAAAGCAGCTACTGGCCAGAAGGTTAATGGGGATCAGAAAATGCCTGTCTAGATAAAGAACAGCGTGTTAAGAGTAATCCTTGAGGAAAAAAATGCAGCTTTATAAAAAGCTGTCAGAAATTGGTTTGAACTCAGTTTTATACCGACTTCTTTCTCCCTTTGAGCCCTAACACACTGGTTAAATCCAGCTATAAAAGATAAAGCAGTCTGATGGCCCCCAGGTCAAAGAACAGCCATCATTAGGACTACTGGTGAAAATGCTCTCGCATAGTTTATTGAAAGATTTAATTACACACATTCTGCTCTTATGCTACTTGCAGGACAGCAACATCAAGAGCATCAAGACAACTGACAGCAAAGCAGCAGAGAAAACTGCCTTGACACTCCCTTATCACAGGAAATAGTTCCCCATCAGAACAGCCAAGTGGCTGCCTCACCTTCTTATTTGAGTAGTTTAATTCATTGTTCAGCCTACTGCAATCTGCAGTATTCCCATTTTCCATTTCCTCCTCTTCCTGATCTTGAGGCTATACTGCATCTTTTGACTTGCTTGTAGTGCTTTTTAATCTAGGCACTTACAGCCTCAAAATCTGCATCCTAGTCTCCGCTACTGGACTTGCACCAGTATCTGATGCTGTGGCACTTTCTAAAGCATGAGCATGGCTTCCACAAGTATTATTTGACAGCTGTGTTTATAAAGCAGTTCATAAGAATCAAGGCCACAGTACACAAGCTGACAGTTGCAGTTCCTTCAGATGTCACCTATTAGCCACCCTGACTACAGGAGACTGACTCAGTTCAGTGTGTTCATTTAGGTGTTGGCACCATCTTAACACTCCCTTGTGATGCCATCCCCAATACCTGAACTGTGAGAGAAACCAGTGTTCTATTTTATACTGTATCTAATTTGGTGTCATTTAATGGCAGTCTATGGAGTAGTTTCAGCTTTTTCCATTGGATCAGCTAATTGACATGTGTGCTGCTGTAACACCTGACCCCACCAAAAAAGGGAAGAACAGTTCCATTAGATTAAATTTATCACTGGCTCAGTTCAGCTTGTAGAAAACACTAGTGATGGAGCTGGGCAGGGAGCACAAGAGAAGAAAAAAACCAATCAGAACCTTTCTGTGTCAGCAAGCAGTTGTAGTGGGTTAGGTTTAACATTAAACTATATCCTCAGGGTCAAAAATAGCAGCTGTGTGCATCTTCATGAGATGCAAGTCATTGCAAAGTCTCTTCTCCAAGCATGGCAAACTTTTTTAAGCATTAGGCAACATATTTAAGTGAACCATTGTCTTATGGGTGCTCTTCACAGTACAGCTCAATTAACGTGTAAGACAACATAAAAATTACTAAGAGATGCGAAAGTTTTGCTCTTTTGCATATTCTGAGGAATGCAAATTTGTATTTTAGTCATGCACCCCATTTTAAGGAAAATGCATTAACACTGTGTTCTGGGTTCTAGAATGGAGACAAGTCTGCTGGTGCACACTGAAATACAGACTGAGCTGAAAAAAGAAATCTTCCCTCACCACCTTGGTGGTCAGCCAGTCTCAGTACACTGCTGGGAGTGAGCTGAGTGGAGACAGCTGCTTTGTACTCTTCTGCAGCATTAAACATAGACCAGCATCCCAAGAGGCTGTCTCTGGTTGCTCCTTCTGTGGTCTCTGCTGTTTTACCTGTCATAACAAACGGTCCATGGATTTCTTGGAGCAAGTTCTCCCTTAATAAAAGTTGTTATAATAAAACTTGAGGCCTTTTGGCTACATGCCGACTAATCACCAGCAGTTCCACCCTAGTTAATGGGCTGAGCATCACACAGAGGCAGCATGTCTGAGACAGTTTAGTTAGAAGAGAATCCATTCATAAGCCTGTTGACTTTGCTTTGGTTTTGTCATTTAGAGAGACCACTGACCCTCAAATCTGTGCAGGGTAGCTTGGCTCTTCTAGCCTGTCCAAAAACTACACCACTCTGAAATATGCTGGATACCCAAGAACCTATTAAGAAATGCCAAGGTAATAGTGCTGTGAAGCTTAATGGAACAACATAGGCTTATATCTTCACCTAGCTCCTGCCACCTAAACTCCTTCAGCCTTGTTATATCCTTGAATGCCATCTTTCTTGTATTTCCCCAGCTCTCACAGTGCACCACTTGCTCATCAGCCTCACTCTGGGTACCAAACTCCTCAGAACCAGTAACCTGCTTTACACATATGGAGGCTCAGCTCTACTGCTAAGAAGAAATGACAAACAGAGTCTGTCCTTAGCAGTATAAACCCAAACTGTAGGAGTGTAAAACAACACAAAGTCTGGCACAAGTCCTCCAGATCACGGCTAACACCAGGAAAAGTTTTTCTAAAAAGCACCCATTTGGCTGCAGTTAACAAACTGAAAATTTAGAAAGACTTGAGCTTGCCATACATGGAATCAGTTCAGACACTGACCAAGCTCTAACCTATTTAAAATAAAACAGAAGCAGCCTTTTAATTTAAGGGAACCTCTAGTCTTGCACATGCTCACTTCAGGCTCCTTAGCCCTGTCATTTGGCACAAGCTTGTCTTCTGGATCCAGCTTCCAGATCAATAGCTTTCAGTTGCTGTGCAGCAACAAGGACTGATAAAAAGCTACCTCCACAGAAGAACAGGCACAGTCTGAACATGCAAAATCCTACGTAAGATTTTATTACAAGTGCTTTCTTAGACCACCCTGACTAGTTCCTTTGGTGTGCCAACAGTCTGCATCAGAACCACTCAAGATGAAAACAACTTAAAATAGTGCAAGTAGGTATGGGATTTAAATTACAAATGGAAAATGACAGTAGTCAAGCCCTGTAACTAGAACAATTTGATGCCACACTGTATTAACTAAAGCATCCCGGAAAAACTCTCCAGTGAATTTCAGTCTTACCAGCCACTTAGTTTCAAGGTCTGGACAAAGCCTAGTTGCAGGCTGCTTTTACCGTTACTGTAATACAAATTGAAAAGAAAATAAAAAGGATCCCCAGTAAAGTAACACGGAACTGTTACTCATCCATGCGGTGTGCGGGAACCTCTGTGTAAAAGGCCGGGGCCTTCTGACCATATTCTTACATCAAAACGCAGCTTTTTATTCAAGACAAGGATTAACTGCCACCACTCATGATCACGCATTACTTTCACGATTGTTTTTTTGAGTAGAATCAGTTCAATATAAGGAGTAATAAGTATTTCCGTGACAGGAACGCCGGCTCCTGACCCTTACGGCTGTTTGTTCCGGACACTTACGTACTGCCACAGCGACCGCAGATCCCGCTCCGCAACCCCTAAAGCCCCGTGTCCCCAGTTCCCGCCCTGCGGGCACCCGGGCCTGGCCGCAGCGCTAGCGCAGCCCTCAGCCAACCCGGTCCCAGCCCCGGGGCCCTGTTCCGCGGGAGGGCAGGCACAGCTCGCTCCCTGCGGCACTCCAGAGCCAGCGGCGAACCGCCCGCAGTCAAGCGCTGCGCGAAGCGCTTCCGGCGAGGGGCCACCGCGGCGGCGGCACCGGTGCGAGCGAAGGGCCCGGGCTCCGGCACCCCCTTGTCCCCGCCGCGCTTCGGCCCGAGCCGGGGGAGAAGGAGCCGCACGTGCTTCCCGCTTCCGCGGCGCGCGCCTGTCCACCCGCTTCCCGGCCTAGCCGCCGCTCCCCGCCACCCGCCTGGAGCCCTCCCTGTCCCGGCGCGGCCCGGGGCTCCCATGGGAAGCCCTGCCCGGTGGAGCACAAACCTACTGCAGCTCCTGCCCCAGCGCGCACACCGCTCCCCTCCGCGGCTTTAAAGGCCGCAGTCGGCACCGCGCGGCCCAGCAGCCCCCGCGGCACCGCCCGCCCACCCCGTACGTGGCGCAGCTTCCGGGGCGGGCGGACTTCGGGCGGGCCTGGGTTGTGGCCGGCCCCCCAGCGGGGAGGTGTCCGCCTCTAACCCGGTGCCACGGGCGGCCCGCCCACCTCAGGAGCCCGCCCCTCCTGAGCGGTGAAGGGAGCGCAGCGGCAGCAGCGGGAAGGGTTGGTGCGGCGATGGATGTGCCTCACCCGCACCGAGAGGCCGCAGCCTGCGGGGTCGCGTTCACAGGCTTCTGCACGGGTACCAAGAAAGTAACTGAGGAGCCGCCATTTGTAACCTACTGCTTTGTTTACACTTACTAACATTACAAACATTCACTCAAGTACTGTAGCCGTGTTGTAGACATCTACAGTGCTACAAATATTTGACATCTGTATTAGGTACAGTTTACAAGTGAAACAGTAAAACACTGTCTACCGTACTACAGGTGCAATAGCACAACAATGTAGTGTGCATATTCAACTATGATTACTAAAAATGCGTCACAGATGCCCTGCTCCCAGCTCTCCATTCCCACTCAGGTGCACAAGATGATGACCGGAAGCCAGAGAACCTGTTCCTCTCAATGCATTCACACTTCTGCCTGTGCTCCAGACCTGAGTGTTATACACTTCCTTAAGATGTGCCACAGACATAAGCTAATCCAAAAGGGCATTGTAAATTGGTATAAAAAATAGCACCAGTTAAAGTACAGCCACAGGTCTGAACTCCTACACCCCATTTATTCTAAGACATACAAGGACTTACCTGAACCTTAGCAGTAATCTCACCGACTTCCTTTAGGCCAGACAGCACACGCTGTCCTTTCTTTCTGGTGGCATGTGAGAATTAAAAGGCCTTTTGTCACTTTGCAGTTACAATGAGGCCGAGAGGCAGCATCAGGCTCGCTTGCAGGGTGCCCAGAGGGAGACAGGGAAGCAGTGCCTGTGCTCCAACTCTGAACAGCGCTGTCCTTCAGCAGCGTTCAGCACCGAGTTCAGAAGCAGCAGACAGGGAAGTTCTCCCAGCAAGCACTGGGAGGCTCTGTTAGTCCTCACCTTGTTCTCTTTCACTGACTTAGGACTGCTGGTGACAGGACAGAGGCCAGAAGGAACCTCAGGGCCAGGCACAAACAGCTGTTCTATGTTCTTATTTTCCCACAAAAGTGAAGCTTCACAGGTATATATTTTGCACTGAAAAATTACATACACGTGTTGAGCTCACTGTGGTTTTGGTTCCATACAAAGATCACCTTCATGCTCTTGCGATATTGTCCTTTAAATTTCCCCCTGCCTGTCAACAATTCTCAGCTGTGGGATTGCCAGGACAAACTCACTTTATTTCTTTTGCCCACCTGTCCAGCTCATGCATTTCAAGCATTGTCAGAGTTCAATTCCCCACACCTCTTCATAGCTTAATGTCTTCAAACAAATTACATTGGATCCTTGAGTAGCTCTCAGCTGGACAGACAATGAAGCAAAACACTGAACCCACACGCCCATAAGCTTCTGACATAGCAAGGTGACATACTAAGACCTCAAACCAAGAACTATATATACACTGCAGCGCATCACATCGAAGCTCAGAGCTGGGTGCTGCCTGCTACCAGCAGTTAAATTCAAATGAGAAATAGCATAAAAACATGAGAGAACAAACAAAAAATGGAAAATATATCACCAAGAAAAAGATTTATGGCTTACCCATAAATCCAGCAAAACAAAAATTCCATTTTAGGTAGCAGTGCTGCTGCAGGAAGTTCCCACCACAGCCCTTTTTCATCCCTGCCTCTCATGCCAATGCCCAACAGCTGTTCCTGCAGTCTCTTTATAAGCTGTGCTGGTGAACTGATCCCAGCTAAAAGAGCCTCCCTGCTTCCCAAGGCATTTCTTTATTTGGATCACTGCTATCAGACCCCGTGGTCCCATAGCAGCTGAAGGAGGACTGGGTGAGAGGCAATAAAGGCAGGAGAGAGATCGCTCCTCACAGCCACCTCTTCAGCACTAGGACGGCTTTGCCATCTTGTACTTACCACACGACTGGTGTACTCCTTTCAGTCTCTCTTCCCCCCCCCCCCCTTCTGTTACCAGTTTTCATAAAAAACTGAAAAACTGTGTATTTTTAAGGCCTATACCTCCCTGTAGAACATGGCTGAATCCAAACAAGGGAGTCCAGCATTAAAGAGGAGCTTACACACACACAGAAAGACGACACAGTTTTATCTTGCCCCCTCAGGAACCAGGCTAACAGCAAGCCCCACATTTTACACTATCTATACAAGCTATAAGGAGAAAACAAATCCCAAGAAGTCACTGCAATAACGATTCAACCAAATGTTTTTGTATTAACTACCTACATGACAACATGCGGAACACGGACTCATGAGAAGGCTGGGGATGGCAGCGTCAAACCACCAGATACTTAAATACTCCATAGGGATTCCACTTTCTGCCAGCACTGGTAGTGTCATGCTGCACTGGGAGCCTGCCACCCGTGTCTCCCAGTGAAGAGATGCCCAAATGATGATCTTCCTGCCCATCTCAAGTTGCTTTCTAGACAGAATCGGAAGACCTAAGACCTCCTATTCCGTTTTGAGAGAAATAATAAGTAAATCCAGAAACCACCTGGCATTCAGTCTCTTCAACATGTTCTGACAAGTTTCTTCCACTTGTCACCTTTGCTCAAGTCGCAGTTTAACAGTTTTAGAAAAGACGTTATTATAAAAAACAGAAGTTTGTGTCTTGGTAACCTGGTAATATTAGCAACTATTCAGTCTCTCATTTCCTCCTTCCATTCCATAAAAAGACATATTTTAACTTTGATTTAAAAAAAAGTTACCATGGTAAGGCTTTTTTGGGGGGATGGGAGGAATCCCCAATACCTGTGCATCAGCCCAAGAGTCCACTGCAAAGCCATGCAGAGTCTAACTTCTCACAGGCCCTGCCAGTGTGAGAAGGGCAGAGTGAGCGTTTTCCTCAAACTTCCTTGAACTGCAGAGCACTGTTCTCCTGGAAAACTAGTGCACACTTTCAGCTTGTGCTCTGGGGCTACTGTACGACATTTCTTCCCTCATTCCCAGCCTGTGCTTTTCTCCACTCTGGCATCTGAAGGTAGGATTAGAGGCATCGTATAACTGCCCGATTTCTGGATGTGATAACCCGGTTACCCAAGTAATATTGCTCTGTACATACCACACACTTAGCTTGTGGCAATGAACCACTCCTACGGCTACCTTTGGAGTATTAAAGATTTATCTTAAGCTCAGCAGTCCATAGAAATGCAAAGTATTTCATTTGGCTTTACTCACCTTAGCACCAGATCATAGTTCCACGCAGTGATGAATGAACACAGATCTGTTTTTCACAGTAGTTTCTATACAGCTGCACAAAGTATTACAAGAAAGTCATTTGAAAACTTTCATGAAAAAGAATGACTGGACTGAAAAATATATGGAAATCTTGTTAACATATTTGTATTACTGAATTGTTTAAAACAAAGACAAATTATACCTAGTGTTTAAAATTATGTGCATTAAGAGACCGTATTAGACATCTCATTCATGAGCCACTCAGTACCATTATGGATATTGCATCTGCTGTTTTCTTAACAGCAACATGAAAATTAAATGTTTACACATTATACACACAGACACAGCCGTGCGACCGCATAGCGCTGGGAAGATTCCCTACTGCTTCCCATGTATTCTGTTCAGGGTTGTATTTCTCAATACTCTGCAGATATGCTCCTTTTGAATAGGAGTATCCTCCTGTCACATAAATGCATCCATTCATAACCACCGTGCCACACTCCATCCTTCTCTCCATCATGTGAGCCATCTGCTTCCACTTGTTTTGCTCTGGGTCATAGCAGTCTGTGATCGTGGTCTGTCCACCCACAAAATAGATCTTGTTTTGTAATGTAACCGAGCACAATCCATATTCTTCAGGAAAAAAGGAATACAGTTCAACTCAGCATGACAATGATAACTTGAACTACAGCTACCTGACAAACACTGGGCACCAGTGAGGGCATCTGAGTTTCTTCACTGAGCTCAGAAGACACCTCAGGATTTCCTGCTAAACTTGGTAAAAGCAAGATCAAGATGATACAGACATGCCCACCAGTACTTAGTGAGAACTGCTTTGAAAATTTACTGTTAGCAAGTGTAGAACATAGAGAAAACCCATTTAAAATTCATATCAATTGTTCTTGCCAAACATCTATGAATAAATTTTATAGAAAGTTAGAAATATAGAGATATTATTTAACAGAATGCAGCCATTCCTTAGTTCAATATTTATATAGTGATTCCTATAAAGCTGATGCGTGAAGACGGTCTTTCACTCTCAGAGTCTGGAAATGGGAGATGATCCCACTCTGGCCCTTGCTGCCTTACAGGCATTGCTCCTTTTATTAGGAACATGCCGGAAGCTCTGAAGTGGGCTTAAATACCCCCAGATACCAGTTATCAAATCAAGCTCTACGCTTGTTACAGAAATTACTGTTTACCTGGATGCGGACTTGTGGTGACTATACTCCACTCATTGCTACCTGAATGGTATCTCTGGACTTTATCATAGGTGCAGCTTCCCCTGTATCCATAGTGACCTCCCGTTACGTAGATGACATCATGCAGGACACAGGCAGTGGCATTCCCAACACCTGTAAACAGTGTGAAAGTCACAGCACATATTCAGACTGCAGATGATATCCACAGTCACTTCCAGCCATAACCCCATTTCAAATGACTCATTAATTACTATTTTAGGGTGAAATTATGCTGCAAGCATTTAGCTGAATGGGAAATTAAGTAAGTTTGTCAAGACACCTTATTTTAGCAGCATTAGAGCAATTAAATAAAACTGCAGTAATGGAAACATACTGCATGTAATATAGCCCATGCAGCATTTCACAGAATTTTTATGCAGTAATTGAAGACAGATCATCACACTGGGTCTGGAATATGGAATTGCTTTCAGTATTTCACTAAATTACAGAGATTTGTAAAAGTCACTGCTATGGCAAAGACAAAGACAATGGGAGCTGAGATCATTCAGTGTCTTGGGATATCTTTTCTGATACTTTTCATCTTTCTCATATGGGAGCTGAGATCATTCAGCGTCTTGGGATATCTTTTCTGATACTTTTTGTCTTTCTCATGGTATTATTAGTTAGACTATTGTATAAACAAGGGTACAAACAGAATGGAGCCATGTTAACTCTGTCTCTAGGAGAACAAAACAAAATAAAACAAGGGATCTGGCAAGATAAAATGGACCAAAATTAGGCAATCAGTGTGGGAGTTTTAAGCATCTAATAAGTTTCACACAGAAAGAGGGATAAAACAACTGCACAGACTGTGTAACTCCTCACAGTACTAGCCTATCATTTCTGTTTTTAAAGGAAATAAACCCAGAATAATAGCAGTGTTTGTGGAAAATATACAAATAATGAAGAAAGTTATAGGAGCATTAGTGTTTTTTCATGTTATAGATACCTCCAAAAATTCTCACATGTAGAAAAATACCATGTTGCATCAACTTACAGTAAAACCGTATAATTAATTGAAAATAATTGCATTAATTTATAAAAATGTATAAGCGGATAATTGTTTATAAATTTTATAACAAAATAACACCATTTAGTTAGGCTGTGATCCAAATTCATACATTTTTAATAGATCATTATGTTGGCTGCTAGAAACAGGCATTAATGCTTTTAATTATCCTCATACTAAAGATTAAACTGAGGATCCTGAACAGATGATACACTGGAATATGAGGGAACTACATGGAAGAAGTTTTAAATGAAGATGACACCTTTATAGATGATTGCACAGAAAATCTTAGTAATCTGGTTTTATATTAAAACAATAAAATCCGCTGCTCTTTGACCATTTAGTCTAATATACACTGAACAGTCTCTATGACTCTAATACCTGGTAGTTTTCTGATTTCTTTTTAATTTGTACAGAAATTTCACTTCTGAAAGAAGACAAAATTAAACTGAGACTACCATTTGCCTTTCCACTATAGTGTTCTAGCACAACCCCACAGAGTATTTGGATGTTTGCAGTCATTTGCCTAGTAGAGACCTGCAGCAAAGGCCACCAGCATTAACAGGAGATTCCCGTGGACATCACTAGAACTTATATCAAACCCTAAACATGATCATGGCATTAGAAAGTGGCAGATGCAGAAGGACTGACATTTGAAGCAGACACCATGCAACAGCCTACCTACCTTTGATCATGTTTGCTATAGGAAGCCATTTCTTTTTTAAAGGGTCATAGAACTCAGCTTCTTGCACTGGAGCTCCCTTTCGGTATCCACCCAACGCATAGATGCAGCCACCCAAGGAAACGGTGCAGTGGTAATACCTTGCATCAAGCATGGGGCAGCCTTCTGTCCACTCATCTCTCTCACAATTATATATCCACACGGTGTCAAGGGCTTCGATGCTCTCCGTTCTATAACCTCCTGTCACATATATATCTGACCCCAAGCTAGTGACCCCATAACACTCTCTGGTATGATCTGGCATCTCTGTTCCCTGAACCCATGTGTTGGTTAATGGATCCCAGACATGCACTTCTGATAAGGGATGCCAGTAATATCCTCCGATCACATACATGGCTGCTGTAGGTCTTCTGGAAAGAGTTTTGGGATTGAGGTTCAGGGCACTGTATATGAGTGACCTTATCTTAGTATCATTAAGTCGGCATTTTTTCTGTGGGCTTAAAACCGACCTCAAATACACATTATTGAAGTCTACCCTGATGCAGCTCAGCAGTTCATAGATGTCTTCAAGTCTTTCTTCCACATTGTGAGCAATCCACTTAACGACAGCTTCGATGGCTGCCTCTTCTTTCCAAATATTGAGATTATCTCTGGAGAGAATATATGAGAGCTTCTCCTTGCCAGTATCCAGAAACTCTTCCTGAGTCCACACTTCTTCAAACTGCCATAACAATATCCTCCTGGACTCTTTCTCTAGCTCCGAGCAATCATGATATTCAGCAAAGGAGTGCATCCCTATGCAGTTGTCAGTATCTAAGTGCCTCACCAGAAACTGTTCACAGGCTTTCTTTACTGACAGGAACTGGAGGAGGTCTGCTGCCTGGAGCAGACTTTGGACATTTCTCTTTGTTATCTGGATCTGCGATGTGTATGCATAATTAACGAGAGCTTCCAGTACCGCATGGCTGAGCCCGGGAAGTCTGATCTGTCTTTTAGATTTCTCTTTCATATCGGCTGTGAACATGGCCTTAAAATAATTGCTGCAAGCTGCTAAGGCGGCTCTGTGGCAGTGGAAGATGACCCCCGAGGCACACTGTAGGGTGATGTCGGTGAACAGCCCGTCCACGTAAAACGTTCGGAACGCCTCCAGGAAGCCGGCGGGGTGAGAGGAGTCCTCGTAGAGGTACGCGTATTCCTCCTGGCCGGCCGCTGCCATCGCCCTGACCCGCGCACAAAAGCGGGGCCGCCCGCAGGGCTCCCCGGGGATTGACCTCGCCGCGCCCGCGGACCACAAAGCCGCTCCGCCAAGCCCCTCCGCCCGCCCCGCACAGTCCTGGCGCGGCGTTTACACCCAGGCGGAGCGCGGCCGTGGCTGCCCCGTGACCATCTTTGGAAGAGCCGCGGGAGGCGGCGGGCCCGCAGCGGCAGCGTCTATTTTGGTGCCCCGTCCGCCTGCCCGGCCCCCCGGACCCTTTCGCCAGATCAGCGGGCCCCGCCCCGGGGAACTCCGGTCTGAAGCGCTACTGCCAGCCGGGGCTCCCCACTGCCGGGGCAGCCGAGTATGGCGCCCACTGCGACGAGGACAGAAGGCGCGGCCGTACTCGGGGCAGAAGCTTGATGCCCGGGGAGCGCCGCCAGCTCGGTGGTACTGAGCCGCACAACAAAGCAAGAGGGCTTCGGCTGCCACGAACAGGGAGCTGGAGCTGCCCCGCTGCTCCGGGCACTGGGAGATGCTGGGAAGAGCAGCAAGCTCCTGGGGCTCTCCCACTGTACGAGGGCAGGATTCCAGAGGGGGCGGCCAGAGCTCTCCTCAAACACCTGAACCTGGCTGGGAGCAAAGGACGGTCACAAACTGTGCTGACAGACTGTAGCCAGAAGCAAATTATTCACGAAGAACATTATATTGGCTTTTAACACTTCTGAAAATGCTTCACAATTTAAGAATTCTTTTTCTTCTCTGCTAGCAGAACACTTTCTGCAAAGGAGACCTTTAAAAAATATTTGAAACACAGCATCCTCTGGGTTTAAGAAGCTGTACTCCCTCCTTCACCTGCAGCAGGGTTTGGATCCTTTGGATCCTGCAGCTGGGTTCCCCCTACCCTGCCAGAGCTCTCCTGAATTGAAAGGACTGGCAGCAGTTTCCCCTGCCAAAAGGGGGTGAATATCTGTTATTTTTAGCTAAGTGCCAGCAGTACCCAAAAGGAGAAATTAGGAGAATTCCTGCTCAGCACAGATTAAAAAGAGCAATTTTTGTCTTTTAATTACTGGTGGTACTTCCTCTGCAATACCCACCAGAAGCATGAACTGAAAAGTGTATACAGACATACTTCTCTACTATCCTTCTTCACATGCTAATCTCCCAACAGGACCTCTCTGTAGTGAGGCATCAACAAGCTGATCCAAACAAAAAGCAAAAAACCCTTCACACATCTTTGCCTTTGGTTTTTCAACCACTCTTGATACACTGTTAGCCCAGGAAACTGGAGTTCTGTGGTGTAACCCAGGAACTCGCAGTAGCCCTGCTGCCTCCAAGCCAGGCCTGTCCCTTAGCTCAACTACTCACTCCATTTTTTTCTCTTGAGCATTCCCATGTATAGGCCTGAGTCTGTTTATGCATTCCTATGCCAACAGCTTTGTTTTGCTGTGGTTTTGCACTTTCCATGTCATCAACTCCCCATGGACAAGTAAGAACTTCTCCTAGGCCTTGGACCAGCACATAAGACTTAGGCTACGTAGTCTTCACAGTAGCTGGTGTACAACAGCAGATCCATTACCATATAGAATGTTTCCCATACACATACACATTCCCTTATGCATTTATTTTCATAACATCCTTACCTAATCATCTCCCTCCCAGAGGGTACATCGATTTAACTGTGCTGAACAAGCAAGTCTTGTGGTCAGCAACACTTAGTACTGCACATGTGTCCCTTCAAGGAGCTTTTCCCTTTCTTTTTTGGCTGGGTTACCAGCTTAAACCAGCTTCATCATTTGAAGATCCTCATCTCCCCTCCCTTTTATCCAAATGTGGAAAAAAATTGGTAATTGTAGTACTTCTGAAAAGTTCTCTCTTCAATTAAGAGGAACAAAAAGACCTCACATTAATACCTTAATGGTCTACCTACTGGAATTGAAAAATTTCTTCTGTCTCCAACATGCACTTTGTCTGGAAAACAGCATCAGCTCAATCCTCTACTTGAAGTTATTAAATCATAATTGCCAATATTTCAAATAGACTGCTTAATCTACTCTCAACTCCTGCATCAGTTCTTTCATCAAAAGCACCCCTTTTTGAGCATGAAGATGAATTTCTCACTCTCAACACAAACTACAAAGCAGGTTACTTAAAGCTAAAAGAACAACAGTTAATATGAAGTGAGTGAAAAAGCTGAAAAATTACTTGTAAATGTTTTATGTTTGTTTTATGTGTGGTTTATGTTTGTTTTTATGTTATAAGTAAGTAACTAAGATCTGTGCACAAACTGAAAGCAAGCTGTCTCACGACCAAGTTCTGAAAAGCACAGAAGAAACAGACACAAGACATGGAACATTCAGCAGCACACCTGGAATGAAGGAAACACAGACCTTAAAAGAAAAAAGAAACCATACCAAGCTGTACTATACAACAGCCATTACCATTCTTTTGTATGGCCTGGAAATCAGACAGTTTAAACCTGCTACAGCTTGAGACCTACCAGTTCTTCAGATGCTGTCTTCCTGCCCTTGCACAAGACAATAGAGTAAGATCACCAATACAAATATCTTAGGCATCTACCAAATATCCATCACTAAAGAAACACTCCTGAGAATTCAACTATATTAATCTGGACATTGTAGACAACAGAGAATTCAAAGTAACCTTTTACAATTCATTGAAATAGGTGATGGGATAAAAACAGGACCATTTACAAGTAAGTATTCATAGGAAATTATATACACTGTCAGCCTGAAAACAGGCAAGACAACTCCTAAAAGTCTTCAACTGAGAAAAAGAAGGCAATGACAGTACCAAATGTCAGGAAGAAAACAAGAACAGTGCTGCACACAAAACAGGGGAAGAGAGCCACAGCAACTGCAGGCTGCTGAGCTACACCTCAGACATCTGCAACCAAAGTGCTGCAAAACTGTTTCTCAGTTATTAAGGCACTTAAGCTTAGGGCATTTAAGCTAGAACAGGTATCAGTTCAATAGCACACTACATTATCATTTTGGACCTTCTGTGGGACTGTAAGAAGGAAAACATTTGGCATAAAATACGTTATTTAACTTTAATGAGACTTTTTTTTTAATATCTCTATACACATGGCCCAACTCTTGAGACTCATCTCACTGTGAGTGATAGAAAGATCGCATATTCACAAATGATTCCTTAAACTACTTCAAGGCAGAACAATCCTGTTACAAAGTTAAAAGAGGATTATACTATATGGATGACAGCGTATAGGCAAAAGTCAATGTAAACATGTATACACGTGCACCATTTATGGGCCTGTGCATTGCAGCAGAAGCCTAACAAGAAGAAAGCACCAAGCTGTCTCAAAGGTGTCCGCACAGCAGTTCAAACTGGTATTAGCTCTATAAGGAGTGGCAGCAGCACACCGTCAGGGCTGCAGGCAAGGGAATGGGAGAGTGACTTTTCTTTAAACAGAGCAGTAACATCACTACTGCTCTCCAGAAGAAAAGGGGTCTGACTGACAAAAAAAATGAAGGTATTATCCAAAGACTGACACCTACACTGGTGTACGCTGTACACTTTCAAAGAACAGGTGCCTGATGATACACAGGCCAGAGCACATTACACAAATGAGGTGCATTGCTTTTGTCAGTGACAGTAACTTTTAATTGTCTTTACAATAAAAGATAAATTATTAAAAAGTAATTTTGCTGGGTAAAATATTTAGTATATTGAAAATATAAATGCATCTTCAGATCAAACAAGATTACAAGCATACCAAATAATTTACAAAATTGAGTATTTATCCTGATCGAAGGGATGTAAAAGCCAACAGTTCCAGAACCATGCTCCTGGCACCGAATGTTTTGTAAGTAAAGAACTTATTTTGTGCACTAATCCTACTTCTTCCCCTATGCATGTGGGACAGAAAAGGTCAGTTACTTTTTTGGTAAAGGCCTGGGGGGAGGGGGAAGACTAAGAATAATGGCAGTTTCTCTTGCAAGCCCCTTTTTCCACTTACGTTGGAAGGTGTACTATGTCAGAAAGCCATTTTAACTTCACTTTCCCACTATGGCCAAGATTAAACATAAACAGCTTTATATTGTGCTTAAAAAGATATGTTCAGGTAACAGCCCAATGTTACAATTTTGTGGTTTTATACGCATTCAGTTTTTTTTTCTCTGAGGAAGATTAAATATAATTGCATTAGTTTCCTTTTATCATTTGAATTATTCCTTTATAAGCAGTTTCAAGTAAGACATAATGTCAACAGCAGAAGACCAAGCCAGAACAGAACACTCCACAGGACTGAGATTTTGGGCCAATTGAGAAATCTTTTTCTCCAAGGTATAGCCCTGCCTGGGCATAGCAATATCACCCTTCTTCAAAAACATTACCGGACATAAGTCATTCCCACCATCACCTATATATACAATTTGTGTGTAAGTTATTCCTTGCTCCAACTGTTTATCTAGAAATTCTTTTAAAACTTCCCTTTTGCAAAGGTTTTTAGGGCACTTTGCACAATGGTGAGCGTGGAAGTCCTGTACAGTCAGGTAGCCAGTACTGCTGAATGCTGCAGGGTTTGTAAACACTTCATCAAACACTTTATGGAAGTCAGCAGCTTTCAAAATCCAGTCAATAAATACTGTATTAGAATCTGAAACAATTATGCAGTCAAATAACTCCTTGTTCTTGCCAATAAACCCCAGAAGATCTACCATTCCTGCAGTGAAAGGGATTGTTGTCATAGTTTTTTTCATTACATCTTCTTTGATGCCATTGTCTCCCAAGTAGACAAAGACTCTGCCCATATATTCTGTCCATCGTCCTGGTCGGTAGGAGTTTCTTAATCCATTAGGAAGCTTTTTCTCAGGAGCACATTTCACAATCCAAGTATCGCTATTTTCATCTATGATTGTATGGTCAAAATCAAAAGCCAACAGAAATTTCATTGCTGTCAGAAAATAGTTTCCAAAACAAACAAACAAAAAAAAAAGACAATTATTTATATAAATAAAAGTACTGAATTCCTACCCTGAACTTGTGCTCAGAAGAGGAAAAAATCTGTTTCAAGAAAATGAGGACAAATATCTAAACAAAGTAAACTATTTATGGCCACTACAGCTATGGGAAGTTTTGCTGAAGCTAAAAAAAAAACAGTCTGTAAAGATCAAAGTTCTAGGTCAGTATCAAGCTTGTTTAAATTAGTGAAAGTATCTAAACTCATGCTGCATATTTGCTAACATAGAACCAATCTTGCAGTACACATGCACCATCAGTTTGACTAATCAGTTGTTTCTCCATCAGCACTTGCCAACACACCCAAACTGGGATTTTCCTAGCAAAACACCTTCACAAGTATTTCAAAAGGAAACTGCTACTGAACAGATGTAGCCAGTTTTTTTAACCATGACATGTCGCATCAAACCAGCCAACATAAAGACATACTGACATTTGGGAATCTGGAAATCAAACAAACACATGAAGTTCGCTTGCTCTTGTCCTACAACTTCAGTACCTGCAGCGCACCTATGGGTTACGGAAACCCCTGGGAACAGGAGACACCTCAGCTGGAACTTAACGCCGTTCCCTACATGGGCACCGCCGCCTCAGCCCAAGGAGTCCTATTAGGCCAGCTCCCTGCCAGCAGGCCGCGCCGCCACATAAGCCAACCGCCCGGCCGAGGACTAAAGCTCAGCAGCCGCGGCGGCGGGGCTGGGCTGGCCGGGGCGCTGGGGGAGCTGGGCAGCAGACCGACAGCCCTGAGGGAAAGGGCCAGAGCCGGCAAACCTGCGCCGAGCCGTTACCGCCCGACAACCGCACTGCCACCGACCCACCTCCGCGCTCGCCGCGACCGCCTCCCTCCGCCTGAAGCCCGGCCGCCGCGAGTCACGTGCCTCAACCCCACGCCATCACATGACTCCCCTGCCGCCGGGTTGCCCGGCAACAGCGCGCGTCCACAGGCGGCTCGCCGAAGCTCGGGGCCATGGCGCCGGGGCCCAGGCTCTCCCGCGGGAGGCGGCACCAGCAGCAGCTCGCCCGTGAGTGGGGCTCTCCTGCTGGGACTCAGCACCGGCGGGGGGTGGGGGGGGCACTGCCGAGCCCGTAGCCACAGCCGGCTATACACGGCTCCGGGCGGCTGTAGGGGTGTTCCTGTCTCCTTGTCCAAACCACCCACTCTCACAGCTGCAGACAGCAAGACAGGCTGTTTCTCCTTAAGAATTGACTAGAAAGAACTACCCTGAAACCAGTGGAGGTACAGTGTCATCCAGGGCTGGAGTTCAAGAACTAGGCACCTGGCAGTTCCTTACATGCAGGGAGCAGCCTTTTCAGTGTACAAGTTTAGCTGCTTTCACCTAAGACAGAGAGAGAAGGCCTTGCCTGGTCCCTATCATGGGGCAAACTGATTAGCAATTGCATCTGAAAAATAGCCTTTGATGTCAGTATCACTGAAAGCCTCCTTACATTTGAAACAGCATTTCAGTCTGCTGCAAACCAGATGAACAAGAACTTCTAACAGGATGCTACTCCATACAGAGTGCCATTTCCTTTAACAATACTGGTGATAGTTTGAAAGGCATTTCACAAAACCTAATGTAAGTTACCACAAGACAAAGAGACAAGGGGACATACAACAGTTAAGTCAGTGCCACAGCCCAAGCACATGCACTAGCTGTAGTTAGACTACAGATACCCTGTCTTACCTCTGGGGTACAGAGATGGGGAGATGTCCTGGGTTCAGCAGTAGCAGTCATGTTTCTCCTCCTTGGTAGCTGGTGCAGTGCAGTGTTTTGACTTTCGGCTCGGGAACAGAGCTGATAGAGATGTTTTGGTTTGGCCAAGGACTTTGTGAGCCTCATGCTCTGCCAGGGAGGAGGGGAAGCCGGGAGGAAGCAGAGACAGGACACCTGACCCAAACTGACCAAAGAGGTATTCCATACCACAGCACGTCATGCCCAGGATGTAACTGGGAGTTAGCCGGAAGGGCTGGGAGACTGCAGGGTTGGAGGAGGTATCGGTCGGAGCTTGGTCGGGCTTGGGGGGCGAGTTATTGGTCGGCTGGTGCTGAGGTGTTGTATTCTGTTCCCTTGTTATTTCCTTTATCATTATTATCATTGGTGGTAGCAGTAGTGATTTGTGTTATACCTTAGTTACTAAACTGTTCTTATCTCAACCCGTGGGAGTTGCATTCTTTTCAATTCTCCTCTCCATCCCTCCGAGAGCAGGGGGAGGGCAAGAAAGGGGGGGAAGTGAGCGAACGAATTACCTGACTGGGTTTAAACCACGACAGGAGAGTAATTAATACTAAGGATATCTTGCTATTGTTGCTATGAAAGAATTCAAATCCTGTGACAGGTTTGAATATAGGATTTTCTGATACCAAGTAACCTATCTTTTCTTCCCTCTGCACAGCACCACACCATTTGGAAGAAAATGACACTCTAGATGGCTTTTTTCTTCCAAATGGAATAGATCTTCATCAGGTAATTATATTGCCAAAGGCAGAATGGGAAAGGCTTCAGGACAGCCTTGGCAGCAGAACCAGAGAAGCTGCAGTCATCCTCGCCGAGAAGAAAGAACGGGAAGAAATGCATTTACGCTCCAAAGCTGCTGTAAAAGACTGGCCTAATACCTGTATGGCAAGTACAACACACATTTGTAAACAAATCATATATGCAAAGCCACTCATAGTAATATTGCTAGCTGCACTCCCTTTAACATTTGCTTTTAAAATATAAATATTTTAACTAAAGACAATTAAATATATTTAACTTCTAATATCAACTTTTTTTTAATCAAAAGGTAAAATACAAAATTAATAAAAACCCAAAACACTGAGTATCTCACCTTCAGAATGGTTTATACATTTTTAATCCATGGGCTTTAGATGTGATTTCTAATTCTAATTTTATCTGCAATATAGGGCATGGCACAACGGAAACTAAAAGCCAGAAAATTACGTGAAGAAAGGGAAGAAGAAGAAAGAAAGTTAATTGATTTGGAAGAAGCAAAGTTCCAAGCAGCAAAACGGAAGGAGGCTATTGATCGTGCAAAAACCTACCTAAGCTATCAGAACGAAAGAATTAAAGGGCTTCATGTGTGTTGACAGGTTTTCAAATTCAAGTTGTACTGAACGTCTTTAAACACTGCTGAACATGCAAATTATTCTAAATGTTCTCTTGCAGAGTGCACTTCTACTTACCAAAGTCCTAAAAGAAAGAGATGCTCAAGTTGAATTTAAAAAGTTAAAGTCAGATGCTAACAAAAAGAAGGATGAAGAAAAGGAACATGAATATAAAGAAGCTAATTTCAGGGATCAAGAAGAGGCACGTCGGCGTTACATGAATGAACAGGCACTACGCAGAGATCAGCTGGAACAGTAAGTAATAATCAAAAGTTACCCTAAGTTGTTATTTACTCTTCTCACAAATACATTATACAAAGTTTTTGCAGAAACTTACTGAATCCAGGGTGCCACAAAGGACCTTGCACAAATGGGAAAAGCTGTGATATTGCACTCTTTTACTTGCCAACAGCCTACATGTAAACAGTCTAGCGGGCTTCAATAGGTTTTAGACAAATCACTACTCAAAAGTTGTCACTGAAAGTGTATTTGAACTCAGTTTCAGTTCCAAAAATGGTTAAACCAGATTTTCCATTCACCCATAACTGGAGTCCGGAGAATGCATCAAGAGAACACATCACTGCCACCTCCACCGGCATCAAGAGAACATCATTGCCATCTCCATTCTTTCTGTGGGGCTCTTCCAGATACCTTAATGAAGGAGTCCCCAGGAGTATTTACAGACATCTGGCCCTGGTGATCTGATAGGAGTCAAATTCCCTGAGGCAGAGGAAGGGTTCAAAGACTGGTCTCACATATTCCAGGTCCAACACATGAATCCTTGCAGAACTTCTTATCGAACACTACCAGCTTAAGCTATTGCCTGCATGACCAGGGAGAGAAACACAGATACAGTGGGACTTACTGGAGAACTCTTGTGACTGAGGATGCTGCAGAGAGAGGCCAGAACATTATAAATGCAATGGTGCTAACGAGTCATCCAGATAAAAGATTGCAAACTGTGAGCACACCATGTACCCAATTTCTCGTCAAAGGATCTAGGGCTACCATTACAAAAAATGATGCCATTTTTCACCTCTGATATTCCACCCATCTTCAATTTAAAGTATCACATTCTTCTGTGCAAGGTACCTATGGTTATGCAGAATCCACATCCGTTCATACTTTGTGCAGTCCCTAGCACATTTATTTATTTATTTTTCCCAATTCAGAATAAAGGAGCGCAAACGTCAGGCAGATCTGGCCAAGCTAGAAGACAAAAGAGAAGGGGAACAAATACAGTTATCAAACCAATTGTACCAACTGGAAATTCAGAAAGACAGAGAAAAGGAACAGAAAGAGAAAGCTGAACGCCGGAGGCAGCATCACGTAAGTAACAGGAAGTCAGAGTTTAAAATGCTTGTTTCACCTTGGCTGCCTGGAGTGAAGCTGTTGCATTTGGCCCACAAATAAATGGGCCTCCTGGCAAGAGGAGGTTTGCTTACAGCTTCAGTAGCAGTGGATCATATGCCTACCTTGCCAGCTGCAAGCTGTGTCTTTCCTCTGTGCCTTTGAGAAAGGCCTCTTGCATGTACTGGTGGGGGTTGCACAGTCCCATTCCTCTCAACATCCCCCTCTCCCATGTGTGTGAAGGGAAACAAGGGATAATGCTCACTGCATTGCATAGCAATTTGTCTATGTAATGGGCTGGAGAAGCAGCTGGTCAATGCTCAGTTCCCCTTCTCCTTACTCATATCTACTATCTTCTCTTCATGTATGAACAGGGAGGCAGGAATGAAGGTACTGAGAAACTATTCCCTCTCTTTTTTGAAACAAACGCAGAAAAAGAGAATTGGGAGTGATTCTTTTAAGCTGCTACCCTAGGCCCAGATTTTCTCAACTTTCCCCGTTACATCAGGACCGTTTTGCCCCTGCAGGAGCATGTAGCTGACCAGAAAATAATCAAAGCAGTAGAGAAACAAAAACAAATGGAAGAAGATGCTCGGATCGAAGCTCATTTTAAAGCAAAGCAGATTATCGCCAAGATGACAAAAGAGAAAAAAGCTGAATTGCGTAGGTAGGTACAAAAATAGAGTATTAATTGCAAATAAACTAAAAATCATACTGTAGCCATTTTCAAATCTTTCAGGCTGATGATATAACACAATCCACAGTTATTCTAAAAATTAAATTATGATAGAGAGGGTAGGAAATTTGGGAGAAAAAGGAAATTCTGTCACGGGTTCCTTAGTAAGGGGGGGGAGGCGGGGGAAGCGATCTTTCCGCCCTTCAAAGTACAAAGACATACAGAAGTACAAAGCTCAACACCAGTGTGTTGGGATTAGTGATTTTCCATGTCACCTGCCAAGCCTCCACCTCCTCAACAACTAAAGACAATTAAAATCCTCAACAAAAGTATTTTTGAGCATAAGCTATATTTCCCTGAACCAGATCATGAAAAATAATTGACTTCTTAACTAGGCACCTGTATTAATTAATTACATTGGGTTATTATTAAGGGAAGGTCATTTATCAATACAGGGACAGCATGATGATACCATTGAGATGATCTAAGACTTTCCTTCTTTTCTCATTTTGGGCCAATAGACCCAGCATTTCTCCCCTCATGGCAAAATGCTAGGCAGACTCTCCACTGCATGATCCAACTCATTACTGCAGCAGAAAGCTAGTGTTACAAGAATACAGGGAATATTTATTAAAGCAGACAATTAAAAACAAAGAAACAGGAGGAACACTGGAGATTGAGGAGTTGGGTGGGTTGGGGTAGACTGTGTGGCAAGAGGAGAGAAAACTAGAAGCAGAACACCTGAGTTTGGTATCAGTAGTGCTTCAGGTAGGCCAAGGTATGTATCCTGGTATGTTATGGTAGCTCATATTCTTCTGCAGACAAGCGCAGGAACGTCAGGACAAAATTGTTAAACAATTAGCTTTACAAATGGCTGAGACATTAAAGAAGGAAGATGGTCATCTTGCTAGAGACACTGCAAAAAAAGCTGAAGAAGAAAAAAAACGCAGAGACAAAGAGGCAAAGAAGCAAAAGGCTGCAACTGAATCTATTGCTGAATACAGAGCCACTGCGGTAAGAAACCTAGCCTGTTCTTATTCCTGCTTTACCTCAACCAAGGAGCCTGGCCCAGGTCACCTCTGGTGGCTTTAGTGCCCTGCATCAGCATGCTCCACCAGGGCCACTGACATCTTTCCTGGCCTTCTCTCTCCCTCTCCCACTTCACTGTTCAGTGCATATCTGCCATGGCTGCTGAAAGCCCTGGGTTTGGACACTGGCCAGCCACAATGACCATGCTCATCAGAGCGCTGATATGGGGCTGCTTCTGCTAAAAGATATGAGTTCCAGCTTAGCAGGCTAGCTCCTTGGCTATCCTTTTTTGTGTATTTTGTAAAATACAGATGAAGATGAAAGCGGACAAGGAGAAAGAAGAAAAAGCAGAGAGTAAAAAAGAATATAATAAAATAATGGAAAATTACCACATTTACCTGGAAAAGGAAAAAGACAAGAAAAAAAGACAACGTGATGCCAGTATGGAAGTACAGAAATTTCAGATCCAGCAAATGGTAAACAGAAGAGATGTAACCTGAAAGAAACATGCATCTAAACCAACAGCACTAGCTCCTACCTGAGAGGAAGAATGGAAGCTTACTGTCTTTTGGTTGGGGGGGGGGGGGGCATGAGGGGGTGTGTGTTTGTTGGGTTTGGTTTTCTTAAATCAATTATGCTCTGCATACACAGAGTAGCCTCCTCTCAGCAGTGGCACAAGTCAAGGTCGGTTTACAGTCACAGATTACCTCCTGCACTGTGCCATTATGTACTACTGCTGTCCTCTTGTATTTTCTGGGCAGGTCACCAAAGAGCAACAATTAATGCTGATGTTCACTCAGCTATCTAATGTACCATTTTTGAGGGGATGCGGCAGGGGAGAAGAGTGGGGAAAGATTATATCTGACAAGTATCAACTAACATCACCACATCTCCTAATACATTTAAGTTTTAAGGGACAGTTATGTTGTGAAAGAAATACTAAGCTTTGTTATTCCCTTTTCTTCATCAGGCTGAAAAGCAGGCAAGAAAACAGCAGGAAAAGCAAGCAGACTTGGACTACAATGCTCAGACAGAGTTTATTGCTCTCTGTAAAGAGCAGGAATTTCAGAGCTATGCAAAGCAAGTAATTGAATCAGAGGCCAAGACTACACATCATCTTTATCCTCTTCTGAAAGCATACAAAGATGTAAGAGGACTTGGACTCAAGCCATTTTCCAGAGAAGAAGGATCAAATGGTTTTCAAGCACAGGATGGTGCTGGGACCCAGTAACCTTGCAGATGTACTACTGCACAAGAAGTTAAAAACATGAAGTAATACAGAGACTATCTAGCAGGGAAGGGCAGAAGCAGTTTTCATGTGGTTAAAAAATGTCTTTTTGAACCTTACAGGCAGAGTTAAACTGCATCTATTATATACTGTGAATCACAAAGTCTATTTGAAAAACAAAAAGATATTGCCTGAGAACTGGTCATATTCTCAAAAATATAAGTTAGTTTATTAAACTTGAGGCAGGAATGCATGATATATAATTGACCATCCATGTAACCCATTCCAGCCAAAATCTCACTATTACTGTTATATTTTTATTATTCACTGTTCTAAAAACTCACTGTCCCAGGTTTTTCAGGCCTGCAATACAAATTCCCAGTGCAAAAGTTCACATTTTTCACTAGCTTACTTCCAGTTAAGTATTCCCCATACTTTCCACAATCATCAGAGGAAGAAAAAACAACCTTATACACGTGAAAGTCAGAACAGTACTGCAGTTTTTACATAATTTTGCAACTACCTCTGTAAAACAAATGTTCCACTATAAATGAGTTATATTTCTATGAAAATAGAATGTGATTTGATCACAGCCCTTAAGAGGTCACCTAGGAAACAAATATAGGTCCCAATGTAACTCTCAATAGCTGCTACAAAAACAGCATGGCAATGAGAGACAATATCATTGAACTGTTCCTTTAAAGAGACTGATTCAAGCTGTGGTAAATAGATCTGACCTGAAATTGCTTCTCAGATTCTTCATCTGATTTACTCTCCAACACCCAAATCACCCACACATCTCACTCCTTAAGCTTAGTTTCTTTGCCAAAATTTTACCATCATGTTCCTGCCTTGGACAGGGTTAAGGTTTCCTGTAATGACTTTTGTGTAATGACCTGGAGTCTAAATAGGGTATCCCCCTATTCTGGGTTTCACTGGAAACAAAACCCAAGAAACCTGAAGCTTTGTTTTGTTGCACACAAGCTTCTGTCCCAGCCTTCCAGCTGCCCATCTCTGCTGGACAAACTAGAAAATTATGCAAGTTCTAGAAAAAAAACAGAAACACAAACAAACAACAAACCTGAAACTGGTTTTACAGAAAGGATGCTTGACAATATTTCAACTTGGAAACAGGTCTTTCGTGAGCCTGGTTTCAGTAGCAACAGGCTTTGAAGGAAGCACAGGACTTGAGCAAGACATGAGGCTATACCGGGTGAGTTCCCTCCTGCAAGCTGAGGGCCAAGCAAAGCTAGTTTTGCCTCCCCTACAGTGTAAAACATCTGGATGTAAGATGAATGTACTCCTTCCCCAGAGCAGCAGCCACCTCCTCCCTCGAGGAGTCTCTTCCAGGCAGGGCAAGGAAGGAACTTGTCGAAGGAGGGGGAGGAGAGACCCCCTCATCCAGCTCCCAGGGGTTTTCCTTAGGGAAAACAGTGCCCAGGGGCCACTTACTGAGTCCAGATAATGGATAAAGGCAAGTCTCCAACACGCAGCTACAGGCAGGCCTAACTGGATGGGTGTTACGTGCGGGAGCGGCAGCCCACAGAGCCAGCCAAAGCGCCGCACCACCTGCCGCGCAGAGCTGAGGCAACCCGGCGGGAAGAAAACCCGCCGAGCTCGGAGCGGAAAGGCGGAGGCAGAGCGGAACGTTGCAGCCTCTTACCGGGTACGGGCCCGTACAAAGGAACGGGTGTTTCACGCACCGGCTGCGGACGAGGGCGGCCCCGGGACGGGACGGGACAGGACAGGACAGGACAGGACAGGACAGGACAGGTCGCGTCGCGCCGTGGCCTCTGCAGTGACCGCCGCTGGTCGGGCCGGCTTTTGTGCCCGGCCCGGAGGAAAGAAAGGAAGGGAAAGAAACTCCTCAAAGGCTGAACTGAGCCTCCCCTCCCTGAAGGAGCAGCTGACGCCCGACAGCAGCTTCCGGGCGGGGCGGGGCGCTGTGTTGCTATAAGAGCTGCGGCACAGTCCCCACCGCTGTTCGTGCTGTGAGGTAACGCTGCTCTCTTTAGCTCCGGGCAGGGTGGCTCGGGGCTGGGAGCTCCCGCGGGCACGGAGCCGGGGGAGGGTGGTGGCCGCCGCATTTGTTCCCTCTCTGGGGGCGGAAGAGCGAGCCTCGACTCCCCGGGACACCGGGCTGTCGGTAGGGATACGGCTCTCTCTCAGCAGACGCTACCGCTTCCCGGAGAGTCGGGCACTGGGCCGACCCGCAGCGGAGAAAAGCCGAGGATGGACCGCGACGGGCCGGACGCTGCTCGGCGGGAGGCAGAGGTGGAGCGCGGGCGCTACTTGGCGCGGCGGGCGGTGGCCCAGGAGCAGCTGGCGCAGTGAGTCCGGCGACGTGCAGAGGGGAGCGCGGCTGGGTTAAGCATCACCCCGTAACCAGCTCCCTGCTGCCGGGGCCCGCCTGCACCGCCCGCGGCGGGGGGGCACACAGCACAGGCGGCGAGTGCTTTGGCGCCAACGCGGCTGAGGCGACCCTGCACCAGCCGAGGCGGGAGCGGGTGACTCATTGCTCGTAAACCATTGTTTGATTCAGCATCGCTCCCTCGTCAGGCTGAAAACTCGTCACCCCCTTGTTCCTCCGTAACTCCGTTTTTCCAGCTTCACAAACGTCTCTTGCTTTCAGGGGCAGACCTAGTCAGTTAAAAGAGACTGTCTAGATTCTGGCAATGAGAACAAGCGGCTTGTTTCTCTAAGGCAAAATTCCTTACTGCCGATGCCCCCTGCCCAGAATCACTCGCAGATCCTACTGACACGGCTGATGACCATGGCCACGCCTTGCACAGTGCTGTGGCACTGCTTGGAAGTCAGCTAGCTGACAATGGCCCAGCTTGTGACAGTGAGTGGGCTGACAATTAAACCGGGCTAACCAAATTATATCTACTATTTGAGTCGCTATACACGTCATACTTGTTTTTGCTAGTATAGGCTTAACCAGCTCCCTTGCACTAGACCCGAGCTTTAGCCAAAGGACTTGCACCTGCCTTTGAAAAAAACATGGTTCTATTTTTAATCTCTGACATTCTACTTTCACTTCAAAATATTAAGGCTTACTGTTAAACATACCTGTAGCTGTGCAGAATCCACACCTGTTCATTACTTTGTGCAGTCCCTAGCACATTTATTCAACTTTTTCCCAATTCAGAATAAAGGAGCACAAACATCAGGCAGATCTGGCCAAGCTAGAAGACAAAAGAGAAGGGGAACAAATACAGTTATCAAACCAATTGTACCAACTGGAAATTCAGAAAGACAGAGAAAAGGAAGAGAAAGAAAAAGTTGAACGCCGGAGGCAGCATCACGTAAGTAACAGGAAGTCAGAGTTTAAAATGCTTGTTTCACCTTGGCTGCCTGGAGTGAAGCTGTTGCATTTGGCCCACAAATAAATGGGCCTCCTGGCAAGAGGAGGTTTGCTTACAGCTTCAGTAGCAGTGGATCATATGCCTACCCTGCCAGCCGCAAGCCATGTCTTTCCTCTGTGCCTTTGAGAAAGGCCTCTTGGAAGTTGTATTATGGCACCTAAGTATTGACTTTTCTAAAATGGAAAAAGTCTGCTATAGATATCAAGGAGATTGTCCTTGACTTGAGAACTGAATTCATGGGTTCCATGTACCCATTCTTTAAGGCCATTTGTTGGGAAGAGGGAATTAGTCTGAGACTGAACATAATATCTTTTTGACTTGTCTTTCCCTTTATGACTGGAGAGGTTTAGAAAAATCTGTCAAGACATCCTTACCACATCCAGTATTTCCCTCCCCATGCCTGCTTGAGCAAGGAGAAGTGGAGGTACTGTGATGATTCACTGGATTGTGAGAGAGTAAGAGGAGACAACTCCCACTGAAACCCCACTTGCTCCCCCACCCCATACTCTTCTCACCCCAGTTACACAACTTTTACCTCAATTGTTCCCAACTTTTAATACACAATAAAAGCTGTATATGACTGCCAATTCTGCACTTTTAATACACAATAGAAGCTGTATATGACTGCCATTTCTTTATATGACTGTGCATTCTGCACAAATGCCTTGTGCTTTACAGTTTAGTGGTTCTACAGACTCCTACTGTTTGAGGCCTTCAGTCTGTGCTGTGACTGATGCACAGGATGGGAGCAGTACAGTTGGAGCCAGCGGGAAAGTAGAGGAAATAATATAACTTACAGATACTGTGCCATGGGGCTGCAACCAGACACTGATTTTACTCTTGTAGTAGTTTGTGGTAAGTAGGTCATGAGAATGCTCCTCCACCTTTGGGTTACAATTTTCTATAGCTTCACCACTGCTACAACCAAAGAACTCTTATTAGGTTAGGCCTGAAGTCTTTGCTATATTCCCCCCCCCCCCCCCCCCCCCCCCCCCAGTTTATGTTTTCAAAATCTCATTCTACATAAAGGCTGTTTTCTATGTAAACAGGAGTATGTATCTGAAAAGAAAACAATTAAAGCTGAAGAGAAACAAAAAGAAGACAATGAAGATGATCGGATTGAGGCTTATATTAAAGAAAAAGAAATGATGGCTGATCTGGCAAGAGAAAAAGTTGCTGAGACTAATAGGTAGGTCTAGGGCTACACTTTTCAGCATTAAGATTCAAACTTGCAATTTTATTTTGTAACAAATGTTACTCAATTTTGTATCAGCAAAATTGAAACTTTGTGATGTAGGCAATCTTTCTGTAATTAAAACTTGAGGGAGAAATAGAAAGTACAGAAAAAAAAAAAAGACTACTAGTTCCAGTAGTAATTGGTGCTGTTGGGGGTGGGATTGCTGGCTTTGGTAGGAGCAGTGCCCCAGGTAAACTGAGCAGATATCCTGGTATGTTACAGTAGCTCATGTTCTTCTGCAGGGCAATCCAGGTGCATAAGGACAAAGCTCTTGAACAACTAACTGCGCAGATAAATGAGGCATTTAAGGTTGAAGATGATCGTCTTGCTAGAGGAGCTGCAGCAGTAGAAGATGAATACCAAATAAAAATCAAAGAGAAAGAAGCAAAACAAAAGGCTGCCATTGAAGCTATTGCTGAACACAGAACCACCATGGTAAGAAACCTAGCCTGTTCTTAATCCTTTTTCTGTCATATACTTGTACTTCTGAATACCTTTTGGAAACAGCATAGATTCTAGAAAAACAAGTGAGAGGCACATGCAGGTTCTCACTTAGCAGCTGCCTCTCAAATTTACCATCTGTAGTTTCAGAATGAACTTCTTAAAGAAGGTGTAAGCAGTAGATGTGATGATCCTCTCTCAAAAGTTAGAAGGCTCCAGAATTGTTGGCAATTTGTGCAGACATTTTTCCAGATTCTGCACTGCAGCTGAGGAGCCTGGCCCAGATCACATCTGGTGGCTCTGGTGCCCTGCATCAGCATGCTCCATCAGTGCTACTGACATCTTTCCTGGCCCCTCTCTCTCTCCCACTTCTCTGTTCAGTGCATATCTGCCATGGCTGCTGAAAGCCCTGGGCTTGGACACTGGCCAGCCACAATGACCGTGCTCATCAGAGTGCTGATACGGGGCTGCTTCTGCTAAAAGATATGAGTTCCAGCTTAGCAGGCTAGCTCCTTGGCTATCCTTTTTTGTGTATTTTGTAAAATACAGATGAAGATGAAAGTAGAGAAGGAGAAAGAAGAAAAAGCAGAGGGTGAGAGAGATCGTAATCAGCAGATGACAGCAGATCACACCTACCTGGAAAAGGAAAAAGACATGAAACAAAGACAACATGATGCCAGCATGGATGTACAGAAATTTCAGATCCAGCAAATGGTAAACAGAAGAGCTGTAACCTGTCAATGCCTTCAGACAGAAGCACGCTTCTAAAGCCATAGGATTAGATTTCCTGGACGGGAGAGAGAAAGCAAGCTTACTGTGGGTGTGATATGCGTATTCTGTTGTTTGCTTGTTTTTACCTGTAAGCACTGCAGGTGCTGAAGCTGGGGACCAGCTTCCTCCCAGAGCAGTGGAACAGAAGCCTCTTCCAAGGTGACTTGGCCCGTGCTGGTCAGGGAGGATGACCTGAGAGGGCTGGTAATAAGAAAGAGATCAACAATGATGGATCATATCCTGTCCTATATCATTATGTCATTTTTTCCAACCATATCATTGTTTTCCTTTTGTATCTTCTGGAAAGAGTAGCAGTCACTGAGCTATTCAGTCTACCTTTTTCATGGCGGGGTATGGCAGGGGAAAGAAGTTTAGAGGAATGATATTTGACAAGTATCAACTAACTATAAACTAGCATTACTTCAGAACTCCTGTAAGCTCATCCTCTTGAGTTTTAAGGGAAAGTTAAGTTGCGAAAGAAATACTAAGCTTCGTTACTCCCTTATCTTTACCAGGCTGAAAAGCAGGCAAAAAAACAGCAGGAAAAGCAAGATGACTTGGACTACGATGCTCAGAGAGAAGCTGCTTTCTGCAAGGATCGAGCATTTTGGAGATAAAGAGTGAGTAACTGACTCAATGCCATTACTGGATCTAATTTTTATTCTCTCCAAGCTTCTAAGGAGGGACCAAGACCTGGGCTTCTTAACTAGCAAACTTGCAAGATTGGTGGAGTGTATACATGTGTAGTATTACAAAACAACTCAGGGGTCAGGGGGAAGGATAGTTGATAAGAGGATTCTCCATATTCCTCCTGCCAAACGTATGTGAGCCCTCAAGGTTGCTCAGGGACTGAGCATTGTGCAGGAGTGTTACGGCTTGTGTTGCCCCCTCAAAGCCCTGCCTGATGACAGAGACAAGAGCTCTCCTCCAAGCCAGCACATACCAGGAATTGTCTTGGTTAGTCCATCCTGCTGTGGCCTAGGCTGCTACTAGGTTTTTGGACAGCAGGACATGGCTGGGGGGGAGCTGACTGGCTCCCAGTACCCATGTCAGTTAGTGTGGCCCATAAGGGGCTTGTCTGTAGAGTGAGGAAGTTGCTGCTGAGAACTTTACACCCATGATGCGTGTTTTTCAGAGGTTTTGCCTAGAATAGCTCTAGCCACTGCTTGAAGCACATCTTCCTATTTAAGTTTCATCCAAAAGGATCCAGATTGTGATCGCTCTGTAATGTGAACCAAAGCACAGTAAGTAGAAACAACCAAGAGACTTGTTTCAACAACTCAACTTGTGATCTAAACTAAAATGCTAACATTGCTGAACTATCAACTGAAAGAGACACAATTCTCTCCAATAATCTTGGAGTAATGTATTTTTTAAATTACATATTTTAAAAAAAGAGACATGGCAATTAACTTGTGAAACTGTCTCAAAAAATTTACTTGGTTCACTAACAAAAGACTTATATCCCTTCTCTGAGCCAGTGCTCCTTTTACTACTTCAAGCTTTTTTCAGCAAGCAGAAAGAATGAAAACTTCTATTAAAGCCTTTTGATCACAGAAGCTGGAGCCTTGAGAAGCACTGACAACAGCAGACGTGGTGCTGAAACCTGCAGAGCTTGGTAACTCTCCAAAGGCACCCTCAAGTGCATATTTGCACGTGCTCACGACCATGCAATTGGTGAGTTAAATGGGTTTTAGTCTACCTCTACAGAAGCAAGAACCAAGGTGGACTGCAGCCCGATTTCCTGTTCTGCTTCAAGAAATGCCCTGTTCTGCAGATTATGTATGTCTGCATTTGAAGTCTACAGCCTGCTTCCATGGGGTTTATACTCTTTTTATTGTGAGCATCTACAGAAATATCAAAATCAACTACCAGAAAACAACTCTTCCTTTCAGTACACCTAAAGCGAGTATTTTTTTTAAAGCACATTGGCTAAATGCCGATTTAGTTACCCAAATTAAGCATGGAAAAAATCCAGTATGAATCATGGTATCACTTTATTCCATAGTCTGAGATGCGCATGCTTTGTGTGTCTGCTTTAAATGACAAGCTCTAGTTAGTAATCCTCTATAAAAGCTGGCAAAAAAATCTTCAAGGGTTTTAAGAACATGAAGAAATACTCCAGGTTCTAAAATTTTCAGTAACATTTAGTAACATTTCATTGTCTTTTACAGTTTTCCAACATGAAAGGCAAGAATTGGAAAGCTGCTTGCAGGAATAATACAGAAGACTAAAATCAGTTTGTTTATGGTATGTTGAAGATGACAGGAGTAGAGGAAATAGGCTGAGAGAACAGCTCCTTGTGCAAGCAAAAGGAAGCTATTCAGCAAATAGATGAGAATCAGTCCAGCAATGAAAAGACTCCTTAAAGAGCCAAACTCTTCTTAGCAGAGTCAGGTGACTGATATAACAAGCTGTGACATGGGACAACAGGCTGAGTAGACATGAAAGCCTGCTTCAGCAGGAGGTGGTGGAATCAGTACTTGTGAAGGCTTTAAAGATGTCCCATGTATGGCAGGAGGTTCGTCTAGCTGACCATCAGAGGTCCTTTTCAGCTACCATTTAAAGATGGCAACAAAATACATGGAGATCAACTGCAGCTAAGGAAAATTGCTGACCTGGAATAATCTCCTAATTGAGAGGTACCTCTGATCTAATGCCTAGCATCACTACTTGTATTAGTTAATAGTTGGAGTTGAGTCACTATCCTCAGAGGTATTTAAAAGATGCATAGATGGTGGTGGACTTCAGTGCTAGGTTAAGTTTTAATTAATAGCTAGAAAATCAGAATATTATTTGAGAAATTATTTTACTGGTAAACTTCAATTACTGTTTTTGCTCAACAAAGCACCCTGTCAGATGGTCTGCTGCTTTAGGAAGTTATAGCAGATGAGAAACATAATAGGTGTTGGCCTTACTACAAAGCCAAGACCTTAGAAGTGCAAGACAACCCTTGGAGGGACTGAAAGAGACCTCAAAATCAAACTGCATATTTTCCAAACCTGTCACCCAACTCTGGAAGTGGAGCAGCAACTGAAGTTTAAACACACAGGACTCCAGGGTCTAAGATGATATTCTCCCAACCGTAACACAACTGGTACCTGTGGCTGTGGTACCCTTGTAAGACAGTGCTTTCATCATGGATCTAATAAAACTCCTACCTAAGAAACTAAGAGAGGAGCCTTCTAAAATGCCTCCTCTGCTAAGGGAATTTGAGTTGACTCACTGTGCAGCTCTTTACTGTTAGGTAGTGTTCCAGGCTGGAGTTGTTACTTCTGTTCAAGCTCTTTTTAACATGACAGCCTTTGCAACTGCTCGGCTCTGAGGAAGTCTGAAGAGGACACATACCTGGAAACAAAACTACCTACAAACAGAAGAGTTGGTGCTCCAAGAGCTGGGACTCCTAAGGGTGGACACTTTCATGTTCCAGTACAGACTGGCTGGGTACTCCTGAAAAACAAAGAATTTTTATTTATTTGCTTATTTTTCCCAAAGCTCACTGGTCATGTTAGAACAAATTATTCGTTCTGTTTCAATAGGTATTTTTTTTCAGATGCCTGTTATTAACTTACACCTTTCTGGTATCTCTTGAATGGAAGAGTGCTACTGCTAGTTTGTAATCTTCCTCCTTGTTCTAGCACTGCATATTTTAGAGAAAGAAAATCTGCTACTTACAAATAGCTCTTAAACCCCCCCAAAACAGCACTAACACAAAAACAATAACCCTCATCTCTGACAGCTAAGACTAAGAGGGAGTTGAAGGCCAAAGATGTGACAAGACCACATGAGATGTCATCTTTGGAATCATTTTAAAGGAATTCCTTTCTATTTAAAATAAGCTGTGCTATAGACTTTGTTAAAGTTGAATATATGTAGTCATTCCCTTTACATTCCTGCCCTGCCACCATTACAATTTAAGCTTTTTCTAGTTTTGGTGCATCATGGTCTTTGATGGCAAGAACTAGATACCCAAGTAGATACATAAATGATTCAAACCCACCCTTTAATCTGTTAATCTCTAGAAAGCAGTCTTAAAGCATAGTTGTTCATAGCTGGTTGAGACTGTATTGCATAAACCAGCATGCCACTTTTTTTCTGTAGGCTTCCTCATCTCCAGTATATTATCCAGAGAAATGCACAATTCTGTTAGGTGATGAAGGGTTTAAACATCAGAACTGCAGGTCCAGTAAAATTCAACATTACATCTCCATTAACATAATAGTAGTTGCCCGTCTTAAATGAGTGGCAGCTGGTCTGACTCCTTTCCTATTTAAAAGGGAAAAAGTGGGAAAGGTTAGAAAGCAGCAACATGTACTGGAAGAAGCAATAGTTACTGAGCAGACCAGAGACAAGATCGAAGATGAGACCACCGATATCTGGTAAATACAGATCAAGCAACTGGTACAGTGGCATAGTGGAAAAGGGACACGTTGGACATTTTGGTAAAGCTTAGTTATATATAAGACAAGTATTTCTGCATTGGTTTCAATTACAGATGATCAGAGCATATACATATAAATGTAGTTGCTAATTATACAGCAAGACTTAAAACTCTGTTTCTTCTTCAGAAATACATCAGATAACTGCAGAAGTATCTACTAAGGAATAAGAAGCTAGCCACTGCCTCCTTACAAGTTAGATGTGCCTGTGAAACCTATCAGTGCCTAACAGCTGGAGCAAGTTACAAGGCATGCTATTTGCCAAAAACCACCTATACTCAACTTCAGCTCAACAACAAAGTGCCACAGCTTGCAACTGTATCAGTAACCGCTCTGTTTTATTATGGAACAAAGCAGTAGATTTACTTTTTAGAAGTCACAAGGTAACAACCAAAGGTAAACTATCAACTCACCTGCACTGTATTTGAGTATTGCTGGGCCTCCAGGGTTCATTCAAAGTTTATGCTTTGGCTTAAAAAAAAATTTCTTGCTGAACAAATAATAAAATTGAGTAAGCTGTTTAAAAACATCTGCCTGTATCAATAAGATCAATGGTGAGAGCACCTTTTATTTGTTACAGTTTTCTATTTGTGACTTTGGAGAATGCAATGGAAGATAGTATTCCTATCTTGAGATTCAAGTTGTGGCACTGAGTCTAATCCTTTATGGGAAAGTGATGTCTGCATTAAGACTGTGGGTATCTAGCACACAAGTTTCTGAAAGGACTGTAGGGAATGGGAAAAGTACTTTGTTGCCAGGCTGCCAGTAGGTGACTTTTTTGATCAAAAGTTGTTCTTTCATTCAGTTATAAACTGAATGTAAGCTGTCTTACCCCTACTTTTGAGTGCAGACCATGAACAGGGAGTTCTATAACTAGTGAAAGCTACTGTGCTTCACACACAAGACTTATATTTATGCAAGTACAAGATCAAAGTTTGCCACTAGCAAATAAACTATCAGTACAACAATCAGTTGCATTATATGACTACATATTTATGTATGTTACAATATATAGCGAATAGACTGTCATTTGTCATTCTGTAGTTATATAGTGAATAGACTGTCATTTGTCATTCTGTAGTAGACATTCTAATTTCATCTACAGTATCATCCAATTTAGCATGGAATAAAAATCTGACTATTCACATCTTCAGTAAAAATGAACAGACTGGTTTAACTGAAGAGGTAGTGCCCTGACATCAAATCACCATACTTTGTAAAGCTGTACTGACAGCACTACCACTTTAAAAGGCTGAAGATTTGACACTCACAAGCACATTTACACACACAGGTTGCACCATATGACTCAGAAGTGAGTATTGATCTAAATACAGAAGATGCTAAGTAATACTGCAAGAAGCACACATGGCAGACATATGGAATACACTAACAAATATGCAAAAAGGCATTTATTTGAGAAGTGTTTTAATACACAAGCTGTACATTCCATATCAGCTACTTCTCCCAGCTGAGAACTGGATCTTTCCTGTCTATAAATTACAAAATGTCCAAAGACTGAGGTTTCCAAATACTCTGCTAAATATTACATGCACAATATTGCCTCTGTGATTAACCACAATTCTTTTAGCTGGTGAAGGAAACCAGTAATCAGCTAGTTCTTCTTCCAACTGAACATAAATTAATAGGCTTAACTTCTTTTCAATCCTTCCAGCCGTTCTTTTCATTAGCAGTTATGGCAAAAGCCATACACTGACTACTTTTTATATACAGTTACAGAGATATGTATAGGATATGTGAAAATGTCTATCATATGCACTAGAAGTACCTATGCAACAAAATGGAAAGCTAAAGTTTTAAGCCAGACAACTGCGGAATTCTACCAAACTCAAATTTTGCAAAATGCAAAAAGTTCACACTTCTGATATTCATTTTCTTAAATAATTTCATTAAACACTGCATTAGGGAAAGTACTATTTTCAGCAAAAGAAGGAAAGTGGAAGTAACAGTTCTTTACATTTCTATCACATTGACTCCAGCAGCATGAAGATTAATTTTATCACTGGTATCCTCCAGGTTAAGTTCACACACACACACACACACACACATACACACAAAAACACCCACAAAGCAACTCTGTTGCTAAAATACTGCCTTTTCTCACAAAGCTGTCCTTTGAGTATTGGAGAGAAAATACATAGATGATTTAAAAGAGGGATCTTTGATAAAGCATAGCATGAATAACTCTAGGTTTTCTATTATAAGGAAAGTCCTAAGATCAGGGATATATATTTTTGTCAATCAGACAAGCAATCAGTCTACTAAGCCCCTACAAGGGTGTCAAAATATACTTTATTGGCTCCAAATAAATAAACATTTCCAGGAAAGGTGGCTAAAGGACTACTTTTTTTTATGTTTACATTAATATAAAATCCACTTGCCAGACTGACACTATGACAAATTAGACATTGCTAGGAGATCACTGCAAATTCTTCAGGGC